GGTCGCCTTTGAGTTCTACAAGGAGAATCCAGACCCACTTAGTGGAATGTACCAAGATTGCACCCTGGGGCAGTACATAGAGGACGTCTGCGAAAGCGCCGACTCAATCTGTCACTCCAATGGATGCGACCGAAAGATGTTTGAGCATTACCAGACATATGTTCACGAAAACGCGCGAATTACTGTCATGGTGGAGGACAAGCCAAAATGGCCAGAGAACTTTCCCGAGAAACCGCACGAAAGGGATGGTTGGCAAGATGGCACCGGCATCTGCATGTGGAATTACTGCAAGTTATGCAACAAACATTTCGGACTGATGCCCATGTCAGTGAGCACCTGGAAGTATTCTTTCGCAAAGTATCTGGAACTGTCGTTCTGGAGCCGTGGTCTACGCCTTCACCCAGAAACAGGATGTCCTCACGATCATAAGAAAGACCATGTTCGCTTCTTTTACTACCTATACCGCGACATTGCCGTCAGGATACACTACGACCCGATCGACTTGTACGAAATCATTGTACCTAGATCTCGTATCACCTGGAAGGTTGACCATGATCTGGAGTTGAAAAATCAAGTCTTTCTCAAGGCCGAAGAGCGCTGGAACCGCTTCATCAACTCCGTAAAAGCCAGGCTGAAGAGCATCAGAATCGATAGCGTCTTGCCGGAGAAAACGGAGCATTGCAAGGCTGAGGTGGAAAGAATGACAAAGAAGGCACAAGAGGACCAGGCCGAGCTGATTCAAGACCTCCAGGATGCCTACATGGGCTCAAAGTACTACGAGGTTCTTCCCATGAACGGAGTCATACGTCAGATGGCCGAGAGAGCTACTGAATGGGACGTCGCATTCACTAAATTTGAGGCCGACTTCCTTTCGGACAAAGATGTTCGTCAGTTGACTATCATCCAGCTGAAGAAGATGTTTGACCCAAAATCTGGATCCTCAGGTGCTGAACTTGGGGAGAAGCCTGAGATAATTCACTCCAATGTCAACGCCAGCGAAATTGAGGTGAAAGAAAAGCCATCGCAGCCAACGGAAGATGAAGGCCCCAGTCCCAAGACGCATTCTCCAGTGTCTTCAGCGACCAAACCTATTCCTGTGGTAAGTGAGGAAGCAGTAGAAGAGGCCGGCTCCATCCTGGATGGAGTTGAGCATCTTGACCTTGCAACTGCATCCTCGCCCACGCTCCTTAGGAAGGGGGATCCCGTCCTGGAAGCAGCAAAGGTCACCGTCAATGATCCAACGCCGATTGTTGCGCCCGCAGCCCCCACACAACAACCAACATCTCTCTCAAAAGTTAACGAAGCGCCTCATGAGTCGTCTCTGGCAAAGATGATGGAACCCAAGCGCCGAGAACAACATGTAGCCATGCCTGAGGCTACCACCCATGCTGCCGGCGGCGAGGGTTCGATGGAAGGTTACAGGCCCATTGTACCGGAGCGCACGTCATCTCGTAAGGCGGGTTTGGCGTTATCGCCTCCCTTAACACGGGCCATTTCGCAGCCGGTGGGAGTTATTCCGAAGCTCCAGTCCGCTATCCCGAAGGCTAAGGAGCATAAGATGCCAGAGCCGGGTGATCTCGCACGGGCAACAGGGGACGGCTCATCTGCCAAGGGAGATAAGAAGTTCCTTGGGATGAAGATCCGCCCTTCTGCCATCCCACGCTATCGGCATAGGAATTCGTCGAAGGTGTTCACTCTTGCACGTCACTTTGAGGAGTTGAGTCGAGAATTCGAGAAGGAGCGAATCAAGGACAAGAGAGAGCGGCAGGCCAAGATGTCTTTTCCTCGTGCATATCTGCCACGTTCAACAACCAAGGCTATCGTGGAGATCTACGAGGATGTCGACCAGGCCGTTCAAGAACCCGGTACCGCGGAAGAGGGCCATCCTGGTGACAAGGACTCGAAAGACAGAAGACCAATAGAGGGCTCCTCTCCGTCGGATCAAATCCAAGGGGATCCTGCCAGATTGTCTGCAGACCATGGTCGCACTTCGTCGATTGAGATCCCATCTCAAGAGCATACCCATCAAGATGGGAACCATGAAGCGGAGGGAGACGAAGGACAACACGAGAGTGAAGCTGACTCCGATGGTGAAGGTGCAGATAGTGATGCCGACCGGTCATCATATACGTATGACGATATCCCGACCGATGTGAGGGACCTTGCTGCATCCATCGAGCCAAGTGAGGAAATACCTGAAGAGCTGCCGAAGCATCAAAGGAAGAGTCTCATGACAATGCTCACCAACTTCTGGGCCGAACGCTCCGCCAGTGGATGGCCTACGCTTGACTACCCTTACAATTCAACCGACCACATGTTTACGGACTCGGACGTGATTGTCAGAGAAGACGAGCCAAGTTCGGTTGTGGCCTTTGCGATGAACTCCACGGACTACCATATCCAACTTCGAAACATTCGAAGGAACTCTAGGAGAACCCAGCAGCAGCAGCAACAATCGCAAAGGCAGCAGAAAGAGCAACAGCAAGAGCCAGCGTCCCAGGATTTCGAAGAGAGTAGTGACAGCGGCATGCTGGAGATTAAGAGCGGCGGCGCCGGTCCAGACCTCAGCGAAGCCGAACTAGAACAGAGCATGCTCCGCCCCTTTGGCACCCACCTCAAGTTCCAATTCATGGAAGGCTCCGGCAAGTTCACCTGCAAGATCTTCTTCGCCGAGCAATTCGACGCGTTACGACGCAAATGCGGCGTCGGCGACCGCATTGTCGAATCGCTCTCTCGCTGTCTCAAATGGGACTCCAAAGGCGGCAAGACCAAATCGGTCTTCCTCAAGACTCTCGACGACCGACTCGTCATGAAATCGCTTTCTCCCGTCGAGACCTCCGCCTTTCTCGGTTTTGCACCCGTCTACTTTGAGTTTATGGCCCAAGCCCTATTTCATGAACTCCCCTCCGTCATCGCCAAGATGTTGGGTTTCTTCCAAGTAATCATCAAAAACCCCATCACCAACACGGAAGTCAAACTTGACCTGCTGCTCATGGAGAATTTGTTCTACGACCGCTCACCAACCCGCACGTTCGACCTCAAGGGGTCCATGCGCAATAGAAAGATCCAATCAACCGGCGAGCAAAACGAAGTTTTGTTGGACGAGAACATGGTCGAGTACATCTGGGAATCCCCTCTCTTCGCACGGGAGCACTCCAAACGGCTCCTGCGCGCATCGGTATGGAACGATACGCTTTTCCTCGCGCGCCAAAACGTGATGGATTACTCGTTGATGATCGCCGTCGAGGAGAACAAGAAGGAGCTGGTGGTGGGCATGATTGATTGCATCCGCACCTGGACGTGGGACAAACGCCTCGAAAGCTGGATCAAAGATAGGGGGTTTGCGGGGGGAGGGAGGAATCGGCCGACGGTGACGAGTCCGAAGGAGTATAAGAGTCGGTTTCGAGAGGCTATGGCTAGGTATGTGCTTTTTGGTCCTGCAAGGTTCTCGTGCTTGGTTGCGAGGAGGGATGGGAGGTTGGTCTTGTTGAGGGGGTTGGTTTAATAATGTTCGCACGGAAAAGCTGAATATCTGTGGTCGGTGGTGATGGACGTTTAAATTGGCTGACACATCCTTGGATAATCTCCGTTTCTTGTGATTATAGGTATATCCTCCAAGCACCTAATTGCTGGCATCACTTTGGAAGTGGCCTAGGCTCGACCGGTAATCCTTCTTTGCAGGCTGTTGGACATGCTCCTAGGGCGAGGTTCGCGGGTGATGTTACCCCGTCATCAGGGAGGGGGTCGGTGAGGGGGATGGAATAAAAGGTGGTCGAGGGTAGGTGGAAGGACAGCGAGCAGAATGTGCGAGGGTATGGCTGACAAGGAGAAGAGCGTGATGATATTAGGACACAGTATATGAGTGGGGACGATGAGAAGCACGAGAGTCTGTTATTACGCTTGCAGTTTTGTTTGTCTGTTGCATTGTCATGATCAGTATTGTTAAGCACGGCGTTTGTTGTTTTCACCCATCAGACAGAGAATGAAAAGGGGAGATTGGTTTTTGGTCCGTTGCCCAATTGTCTGTTGAAAGATGGTGATGCATTCTGTCATCTATTGGTAGAAGTACGTGTTTCCTCTCTGCCCTCGACGCCACCTCTGATCCCAAAAGGATCTACAAGATCACAGCACTGTCGATTCATCTGTGAGCTAGGTCAGATAACCCCAACCAAACCATCTCCCCGTTTTGGTCGTCTTTCATTTTGCTGACTTTCCACGATATTTTGCTTCAACTTCCCCATGAATACCTGCCGGTGCAAGGCTGCTACGCTAAGCAAACGACGCAAATAAACCAAGTGGAAAAAAGGGTCAACAGTAAAGCAAAACCTTGGGGAAGATATTCTTTTTCTTGTAACCTATTATCAAGTTTTATTTGAGACTTTTCTGCATCACTTAAGTGCCTTTGGCCTGGTATTTTCGGGGTTTTATGTGCCCGTGACCTTGACCGTATCCGTTACTCTTCTCCCCCGACCAAATCGAACAGATCTAGCAATGGTTTCGATACTTGATGCTTCCCTAATTGTTACAGTCGTGTCTACTTGTGTACTGATGCCAAGACGGCGAGGAGACCAGTGTAAGTACAGTTCAGCCCTGGTTTGTTTTTTTTGGTCTAGTTTAAAGGGCTAGTGCTTTACTGGATATAGAAAAGAGTTTGGCTTTTTTATCGCATCTTAAAAGGTCTTGAAGGGGATAGAAAGGGATTCAAGGGGGCATCCATTCGAGGCTCCGATGGCCTCATAATTCCTTGCTATTATCCCGTATCGCTTCAAACGGAGGACATTTTCTCTCTGGAAAGGTTAATAAGAGCCCCAAAACTACGCTATTGAACACATAACTGATATACCAAATTGACAAACGATCCAGCATTGTATTGTACGATACTACGAGCACGGAAGATGGTATCATTCCGGGGTTGTAGACATATCGAACCTTTGCTTTGCTTTGCTTTGCTTTATCTGCATCACTGCAGGCCAACTAGCACAATCGCTTGCAATGATCCATCAGTCACTCACCGGCTTGGCAACCATCAAACTAATGAGCGACAGCCCAACCTGCGCAGCCGCCAGGACCGTCGTCTCCCCCGTATTATCATAAACCGGACTCACCTCAACCACATCGGCTCCGACGACAGATAAGCCTCTCAGCCCGTCAATGATAGTCAGCAATTCCCTCGTCGACCAGCCACCTGGCTCAGCGGTGCCCGTGCCCGGAGCAAATGCCGGATCCAGAACGTCAATATCGACGCTGATGTACACCCTCGAGTTACCCACTCGGGCCTTGATGGCGGAGATGATCCAGTCGATACCGTGCTTGTCAATGTCCCGGGCTGTGATGACGGCGAAGCCGCAGCGCTTGTCGTTATCACGGTCACTGTGCATGATAATAGGGCCGCGAGTGCCGGCGTGGATGGAGGTGTTGCGGATTAAGCCCTGGAGGACTCTGTGTCAGTAATTGGGTGGATGTTTATGGGCGGTCGATGAGAGGGGACCTTACTTCTTCGTGGGCAATGTGAAGGAAGGTTCCGTGGTTGAGACCTCTGTGCCAATAGGGAGTGTTACTTGGTGAGTTGTCTTTGAGCCTCGCTGGGTGCCTCTGGGTCTGGAAGATTGACTTACGCATAGTCAGAGATGCCTCCGAGAACGTCAGGACTCCATGTGTCTGTCGTGAGGTTAGTGGTCACATGCTAGGCTGCCGCATCGACACACCCACCGATGTGACTATCCAAATGTATCACGGACACCTGACCCCATCGTCGAAACGTTGATCGCAGTGCCGAAAGAGTGGTGCTGTGATCACCACCCAACGTCAATATTCTCGGCACCGTTGCAACCGTGTCGTTGGCGGTGGGCCGCCCGGATATGACTCGATGCGCCTTGTCGAGATGCTTGAAGGCAACGGTATTGTCGAGCCAGGTCAAGGTTGCGTCGCCGCAGTCCACGATGGTAGCCCATTCATGCAATGCATCTTCGTCTGCAAGTAACCAACCATTACATCGAGTTAGTTGGAATCTGGGAGCGGTGACCTTAACAATTTTCGAGTGGTATTCTCAGTGGGGTTTTGTTTGGCGATGAGTTATCATCTATATTGGGTACCACTGTGTACTTTGGAGGTACCATAGCTCGAGAATTGGGGAACTCGATGGTCGGTCCTTGAGATGGTGGTGGTGGTACTGCAGTAAGTGCCGCAGAGAGGTTGAAAGCCGAAACGTACTTACCCGTGTAGTAATCGAATCCTCCAAGGCGTTGACTTCCGATCCTTATTCCTGTCGGCCCATAGCGGGCTCCTGGTCGTCCGGTAACAGCCTGCAAGAAGGTGTGTTGCTGGTAAGACAACTGGGCTAATCTTGCCAAAGAGGAACGAAACAAGACGAACCGTATCAAAGGGAGCGCCAAGAACAGCAATGTCGTATTTCTTGGAGGCCGCTTCTTCGTCCGAAAAACAATTCACATACGGAAGGCTGGCGAACGTCTTGAGTCCGTGAAACTGACTTCCCGTCACGACATCGATGTCGTCTTCAGTTGGGTCATCAAGCGAAGCTGGATGTCCTCTGTTGTTGCTGGAGACCCAGAAGGACGAAGAGGAGGAGGAGGAGAAGGAATGAGGGATACCGTGCGCTACTACCCCGCCGATACCGAGGTAGAAGAACACAAATGATCTCATGCTGATTACCGGAAAACTACCTCCACTCATCATCTAGTAATTCAAAAGAAGAGGAAGGAAAACGGTTATCCTGAAGCTTATGATAGTATCTGCTTCCTAGAAGGAGGATGTGGAGGTCCGAGTCCTTATACCGGTCCATGGTGGCTTGCGTCATGTCGCTTCGCCTCATCAATACCATCTGTCGCCTGGGAGCGGTTGCACAGCCTACTCTTGCGCTCAAATCACACTGAGCATGTTCAGTGTTTTCCAGTCATCTTTTGTCAGAATCACCTGCCATGTAAGATGACATGGAAAGTTGCGGAAGGTCCAGTGATCCCGTTACGCGATGCGATCGAGATGGAGACAACCTCGGGCCTTCCCGGAAGAGCAAAGTTCTGCGGTGGCCAGTCAAGCCATTACCCCATTACAAAGAGAATCTCTCTCCATCACATCACCAGCATCTTGTCTTTATTACCTAACATCTTTAACCTCGATTTCCAACCTATCACCACCTAGAATCCGTCTGCGCAGGACCTCGCTAGCATCTTTCAACAGCTTCGCCTCACCTTGAAATAGATTTCCAGCGTACTCGACCCATCCAGCCTCCTCCGTCTTGCGCAATGGATCCTTGGGCTAGAGGCGATAGGGTGAGCGAGAGCGGTACTCGCCGCCACGTACCCATCAGCAGCATCAGAGAACCATCTGAGCATTTATCTCCCAAAACCAGTCACCGGATCGATACTCAACAGCCGGAAGAACGCCGAGATACGACCTTTGCCTCCCATCCAGACAAAGACGAAGTGCACGAGGCCTTCACTGATATTGACCTTGGGCCAGAGCTGGAGAAGCAGGGAGTTCCGCATCGCCACAGCCAGAGGGCTCGTGCCAGAAAACATTTCACCTACGCAGCTTAGTGGCAGCAAGAGTTCTGGTACGCCATCATATGCGTTTTCACGGCAGTTGGGCTGGTGATTCTTCTCAGATACTACGACAACCAGCTTGTGCCTGAATTGGGTGTCGGAGTACAATTTGACTCGGTCCTCATTGTCATGGTCACAATTTTCCGACTCTCACTAATGGGCTTCGTTGGCTCTTGCCTAAGCCAAGGTGCGTGGCTTTGGGTATCGGAAATCTCGCAACAACGTTACAGCCACGATGCGCTGCTGTCAGACTTCAGCGTCTTTGATGGATCGTCTCGAGGAATACGAGGCAGCTTGCGCTTGCTCTGGCGGATGAAGCTCAAACATCTTGGGTGTATCGGCGCGCTTATCATCATCCTATCACACTGGTTTGAGACCTTCAGCCAGCAAATGGTTCTCTTTGAGCAGCGCCCCCGAATTCTCAGCCGTGGGTATGGTCCGGCACCGCCTCCTCCACGATCCGAAGTCTAGGACGCTTACATGAGGCGAGGAGGCTACCTTGGAGACTTGGTACCGTCGCTCTCTACAAAGGCAGCCATCTACAGCGGCATCATTTCAACCGAGATGTCGAGGCTCCCTGTGTACTGCGAAACCGGAAACTGTTCTTGGCCAGTATTCCCGACTCTGGCGGCTTGTGGAGAGTGTGTCACCGTCAACAACGTCTCATCGACTTGCAACGAAACTTCACGCATGTGCACATACAGCGTTGACTCCGGTAACACACTGGATGTTCCCATGGATCCAGCGGCCGAGTTCAACATCTTCAAAGTAGCTCCCTCCAACGGAACATCTCATCCCATCACGTCGACAAATCGGGCCTACTTTTCGGTTTTTGACATGCTCTCCCTCGTCCAATCTGAAGATCAGGGATTGTCGGTCACGGGTACCGAATGTGCTCTATGGTTCTGCGTCCAGAGTTTCAAGCTCTTGGTCTATGATGGGACGCACAATGAGACCATTGTGGGAAACTGGTCCACCACGGAACGTGCACATGTCGTTGGTGGCAACCTCCATGGCGCTGGATATACCTTCATCGGCCTGCCTGAGCATCTGAATGCTGACAACACAACGACCTACTCAGTATCCAATGAGGCCATAACCGCTTTGCGAACGTTCATGGCTGACATAACGTCTGGAGTTGTCCGCGCCGACACAAACATGCTGGATTACTCGTCGGACTGGGTTGAAGCCATGTGGAACGCAACCAATAACCTGGAGGCCTGGATGGAGAGCTTCACGCGAGCCATGACGGCCGAGGTTCGTATCAATGGGAGACTCTCCAACGGACTGGGCGGCACCAAGGTATATGCTGGATCTGCCACGCAGCTTGCCCCTTTTATCAGAGTCCAGTGGTGGTGGATGTTTTACCCCGGCTGCATGCTACTGATCAGTTTCTACTACTTTGTCCGTACCGTTGTCATCAGTGCTCGTCATGGAGTGTCTGCTTGGAAAGGAGATGCGTTGCCCATGCTGTTCGTCCGAGTCGACGACAACATTCATGCCCACGTCGGGGATGGCATGGACGTACCGGGCGGCTTGATGGACAGAGTTGGGCATATCCGGATTGCCATGTACAGGGATGAAGATGGACAATGGAGATTCAGGTCAACCAGAGATGACCCTAAAGAAGCCTAAACAAAACACGATGCTAGCCATTGAGGCTTTCCATCGTCAAAGTGTCCCAGCCACCACCAGCATCTTTGCCTACACGCCTACTCGTACAAAATGGCGAGAAAACCTGCAGATCCTGGCCACAGCTGCCCTACTGAGAAGCTCCCTAGAAGAGTCGAAGCCGCTGTGTAAGCTCCTCTTGTAGCATACCAAGATCAATGACAAATAATTGGAAACAGGCGGGAGAAGCTGACAAGAGCGTGATGTGAACAAGGTGTTGGGCCTAGAATCCAAGTCCATACCTCGGCCCATTGCAAGGATGAACAGCAACCAAGTTTTTTTTTCGATGCGGTTTTACAGGTGCCGGACAGCTGTAGTGCCATGCGTAATGGCATGTCGCACCTGGAGATTAAGGACCGATTTCCGTGATATGCCACTACAGTGTACTATGCTACTAGAGAGTCCTGAGGTAGTAATGGAAGCACCTCCTCCTTCCCTATCGAGGAAGGAGCTCGTCACAGATTCGGTTATCACAGCCGTCATTGCGACTTCCTCCAGCAGAGCAGCCGACGATTTCCACTGGCCGTCTCCAGCCGGGACAGACAAATCCGATCCGCGAACGTCAAGGGCTGAGGGACGCGCACCCGGAACTGGGATGATGGCGGTCAAGGCCAATCAAACATGATGAAGTGATAGGGTAAAAAAAGCAAAAATGAGAAGCTAATCTTGTCGGAAATAGGAGCACCTCCATACCCAAGCTACCTCGAGGCCTAGGGAGTCCATTCTGCCAACAGGCGAACGAGGTTGGCCTTCCGCGGACCCACCCTGTGCTCCCCCTGGCGGTGTTAGCGCTCACCTAACCACCACCCGGCCCTGCAAGATACCGAGTCAACGGGCCAGGCAGTTGCGGTTCCCTCACCCGTCTTGTCCCCGCCAAGTCGCTAGTAGCGGGCAGTCAGGCAGTATGGGGATTGCTGGGATGAGGTGGAAGGAACATCCTTCAGGCCATCTCGGGCACCTTCCCTAGGGCAGTAGGGCTCGCGCCGGGGAATCGCAAGGTGACTTTCCACTGGCAATTCGGCCTTGAGGGTTGGACGGAACGGGGAACCCTTCGCCGTCGATCGCTTCCCACCCACCGTCCATGGCACGAGTCCAGGGGAGAAGCCAAAGGCGGTTAGAGGTAGCAGAAATGAGCCTAGGTACAAGAAGAGATGCCGACTCTGGGATGCCTGAAAAGGTCGAACGTTAAAGGCCAGCAGCAGTCTTGAGCATTGTTCTCCTTCATTTCCATCTGTCCGAAACGCGACGCAATTCAACATCCGCAGATAACCATGCTCAACTGTGTTGTGTTGATGCCCACAGGCGCATTCGTGTATACATATCAGTCCTTGTAGGTTTGTTAGCGTGGTTCAAACCCTATATTTTCTTACAAGGGGGTGACAGGGGGGATTGCAAGGTGGGACACGTCTATCTACGCGATCTGATTGGTTGAAATCACCTGATCTTAAGGTGAGAATCTGGGATTCAAGCTGCCACACACAAACCCCCTTCTTTATACTGGCTTAGAATTACTAGAATCACTAGAATTACTACCTTATTGCTTTCTATAATAGGAAAGTTATAGCGTACTTACAGGGCACTCTAGTATATTCAACCAATCAAATTTCAGGATTACTCGCTAAAAATGCTAGCAAATGAACGATTTTTCAAAAAATTATAATTTTGACCAGAATTATATAAATCACCCAGATTACTTAGATGGATTCAAAAAGTAGTGCAAATGCTAGATTTCGACTGGAATTTCGACGAAATCTAATATTATTTACTTATAGTACGTACTACTATCTGGTCCGTATACGTTAAGATAGGAATAAATAACTAGTTAATTATATACAACCCTCTCTTACCTATATTCTTTTAAATCTATTCTTTTATATATAACCTTTTCTAACTTATATTCTTTTACCCTTATACTTATTTTTTACTTATATTGTTAATTATTGTTAATCCTAATATTTTATTAATTCCCCTAGATTTTTAACCTTCCCCTTTAAAATAATAATATTCAATACTAAAATTAAGACGACGATTTATTTACTGATAATAAGAAGAATTTTGTCTATGCTAGTAATTTGGACTATAATTATAGCAATTACGCTACCGACGATAGTAGTATAGTAAGTTTACTAAATAACGTATAGATCCTGCTGCGTATTCCCCTCTGTTGTGTTGCCCGCCCTACTAATATTACTATACCCAGTTAATTACCCTGCCTCCTAGATTACTTTTATATATTATTTATTATTGACTATTATTTCTAATACTTTATTTACGGTTATTTATATTTGGTTTTGAAGGTCTTACTCTGTTTTAGCTGCAAGTAATTTTCCTACCGTCGTAGGAGGCGCTATCCTCGCCGCTGCCAACCGACCAATTTATTTTATTAATTAATTTAGTTAAACTATCTTTCTCTTAATATACCCCTACTAAGCGAAAGACCGCCCTAATTATATATAAGGAGCGTATTATTTATAAGGTTCTTTGTACGTATACGAAGATGGAGTATAAGGATATTACCGCCGCCTTTAATTTTACTATTAGGTAGGTACAATATACCTATTTTACCGAAGCTATCCTTTACTGCTACTTCGGGGGTAAGTTGTTTATTGTTCTACCTTATTTTGTTAATATTTTTATTAAATATATAAATATATTTATAAAATTGAAGAGGTTCCTATTGTGGGTAGAATTGGGTAAGTGTATACTTGAGCTTAATAAATACTATTGCTACTTTATTCAAACCGGTATAGAATCTTAGAGTATCCGCCGTATTAAGTAACCAATTTATCTTCCTCTAATTAATAAAACCCGTTGTCTCCGCTTTGAATTCGTTTTATAATATGCTAATCTTACCCCTTTCGAATAGGAATCCTAGATTTAGTTTGATAAAACGTAGGTTAATAGTATTACTTAAGGTCGTTGTTTTATTACCCTTTTTAAAGACGAGAAGGTTGATAATTTTGTTAAAGTTAAATTGAGGGCTCGAGGATAGATGTTCTAAGCTTACTTTATAGGTAAAAAAAAGGGTATATTCGTATTCTAGAATTATAAAGATTAGGGTACAATTATTAGCAATATTTATTAAAAGTATATCCTCCTTTATTTATAATAATTCTAATAATAAAATTCGTTTTTTATTATTATGTAGGATAACGTACCAACTTATAATTTAAAATTAATAAAAGTATTTATAAAGGAGGCTTTTATTAGTGGTACTGTTATTGATTAGCCACCCTACTCTCTTAATTTTAACCCTATTGAGAATGTTTAGAACTATATAAAATAATAGATTGAATATAAATACCTAATTAAACCGATTGGGAATAGCCTTAAGTTTATTATTGAGAAGGTATAGGAGGTTGTATTAGAGGACTACCTTCTTCGCTTCGTATATTTAATACCTAGAAGGCTTTAAGTGGTTATTAAGGTAAATAGTGGGTATACCGACTACTAACCTAGTTGAGGTTACGGTTACAATTGTGGTATTTGAGAATCCTTGGTTTTAGTATAGTAAATTGATTGAATTACTGTAGCTTTGTTGTCCCTGTTCTTCCTGTGTGGGCCTCGTGCACGTAATTTTATTGGATTTATCCCTGGTCGCCTCCCCTGTCAGAATCCCTGTATGTACCGAGCTAACGAACCTACCAGGACTCAAGTGTAGTCATGTCCCCTGTTAATGCATGCCCCCTCTTTTGCAACCACATGGGTACACTCCAACCTGATCCATTAGACGCAAACATTTCTGCGGCCCGAATTCCCAGGTTAGTATGTAAGTGAGGCACCCCTTGATGCCAAAAAAAAAAAAAAAAAAAAAAAAAAAAAAAAAAAAAAACCCTCCTGCTGCTCAGAATTGTTGCCGTCTTCCATACATAGTGCTGGAATGAGTTGGTAATCAGTCAGATGTACAGGTCCCATCGGGCTCTCATGTTGATGATTCGGGGATCCACTGCCGGACCGATGTCACCGCTGCCGGGTCGGGTCCGTTCTCATGATGGAGTGAGGTTCGCAGCGGCACCAACCAGGAAGGAGAAGAAGTGCCGTTCCCCACAGCCTGTCCTCCACCTGACAACAATCATTCTTCATCTTCATGATTCCAAGACACATTGAAACCCGAGCTAACTGACTGGACCCAAAATGGCAGCACATGGGCAAACTTTGCGCGTCGTCGTCCTACAACACTTGTCTACACCGCCGTGGACGGGCGTTTTGTATTGTGGTAGCCGGGCTATTCCAATATGCCTGATTACTCGCTGTACATAGTTCTAGTTTGCTCTGACCATGACTCAGTTATGTATCCGTGCTAAACCCGCAAAGCCACCAAACTTTGAATCAGCAAAGCGTTATCAAGAAAAGAAAAGAAGAAGAAAAAAAATGACGATTATGGGCAGAGCTGGGCAGTTCAGTTCTGGAGAAGCAGGGGAAAGCAAGCCGACGAATCGCAACACCTGGCGTCATTTTCGAGAAAGAGCACCGTGTGTGTACCGAGATACCCTCCTCCCTATTAGGGAACCACTAGCACTACACTAGTAAAGAGTATAAGCTCGGCTAACTAAATGCGATCCCGATGAGTGGTGGAAGAACGCAAATTGCCTTAATAGCATGGCTATTACGCTTGGCAGCCAGGACATGAGGGTTTTCGTCCTCTAGTGTAAACTCCTCTCTGAGAAGCTCTGGAGATCACAAGACGGTCTTCGGTTGACGGACGGCAGCGGAAGGCCCACGGCGGGATCGATCTTTTAGAGGCATTCCCCACATTGCGTAAATAGGCTGACGGGGATTTGTCAAACGAAGCTCGGCGTCAAGGACAAAGTACCATGAAATTCTGCACCCCCCCCCCCCCCTTCCTCTCCTATTCAAGCATGGCTTCAAGGTGTTTTGAAAGCCGAAGAAGCGATGTACCAGTCTCTCTCTAGAAGACTCTCGTCACCGCGCTTGTTCTGCAAGTTGGCCAGGTAGGCCGGCCCATGTTGCACTGAACGAATACACGCAGTGGCTGAAAAATTGGAATTTCAACTCTCACAACCAGCCTTGGCACTTTCCCATTACAGAAGCGCCCTTCTGATTCGCGGAGCGGTTGAATGGCGTGAGGGTTGGCACATGCCAGGTAGCATTTTGTCTTTTTGGACCCCAGAGCAACAACAACACCCCTGAGCCCCCACACATACCCTGCACAGCCCAAGCCAACGAGGACAAGCACCGTTTGAAGCCAATTCGGGACACACTGTGTTCTGCTGGTCTCACTTTGAGCGTCCAGTCCTCTTTGCGAATGGCAACTCTCCGGCAGAGACGAGACAATTAACGCTGAAGAAGACTTCACCACCACCACCATCACCACCGAGCACCGACCACAGCTTACGGAATCCAGAACAAGCTGCAGCTCGCTTGACTATCCACCGGCTTTAATCATCATTGGCCAAGTTTCAATATAAAGTTGCACACCTCGCTAGGTACACGGGACGGCCGTCCCTCACCCGTCATTTTCGGTCCCGCTGGCACCGATAGCGATGACATCGACCGAAGATGTGACTGGTCATAACCATTTCCATGATCTTCAAGTTCCCTGCAAACATTCAGTACCTGAAGTGGTGGGATAATTGCTGAGACGGCCTAGAGGGCTGTCGCGGCGCAGCGGCTTGAGCGTTACAGGTTGAGGGGCCGTCTCTCTGTCCCTGCAGTGCATCATACAATATGGTGCAGGGGGGCTTGTTTGAGCAATCAATTGCCGATGAACTGAGCCAGGCTCGCCAGGCCCAAAACTGTTCCCCGAGTGTCGATGGTAGTAACGGCATCGTGGCACAGGAGCCTGACTGATGGATGGTGCAACCCATACGTTATACAAAAGCAAAAAAAGGGGCAGTATGCGGTGCCACGTCAAGTTCGAGGGTTGCTCGGGACGGTAGCAGCCGAAGTCATCTTCATGACGGGCGCGGATGAGTGAGACTCGGTTTGATCCAATCACAACGACAACAACACTTTGTCCAAAGGAAGAGACACTCAACACCCTGCCACAGCTTATTACGACTGCCACTCACATGACAGGAGACGATACCGAGGGTTTGGGACTGGCGAGTTTTTGAAATCAATAGCGTGGTCGGCCTGGCAGTTCCGGTACCTGGACTTGCAGCATGCAGTCTGCAGCAGTCATGACCGCCCTTCGGCAGCATTCTTCTCAGCCTGTCAAATTTCAGTGAGCTGCATCCGGGAAAGAAAAGGAGTTGTTGTTGCGAGATTGGCTGTTCGTTCCGTCTAGGGTACCCGAAAAGATATCTTTCTGCAGCTGAGTCCTGAAGAGGCTCCGCTCTCCGACAGCCAGCCAGCACTGCCGCCCAGGGGAGGGGGATGAACTTGAGTGGTGCCGGCCATTCACATCATGCATTGTCAGTGATCGATGCGGGCGTGCAGTGATCGATGCCACTGGAGGTGCGTGGCGGCGGTGGAGAGAGAGAGGGCCAGAGGAAGAATAACAAAAGGCTGCGAGTTGGTTGCTGCGCTACGCCGTGCTGATAAGAAAAAAAAGAAAGGACGGGAAATAGAGTGTGGATGAGGCAATGAAGAGAAGGCAAAATGGTCAAAGACAGAAAACACAAAAGCACGAAATACCAAAAAAAAAAAAAGGAAAGAGCGAAAAAGGAAAAAAAAAAAAATTGAAGGGGGAAAAAGGCATTAGGGTTAGGGTTCCCACGACCCGACAGTTTGGAACCGAGAAATTCTGTCCGTAGGAAGGCCAATGGAAAGGCTCGGTTGGTCCCGAGAGTTCGGGAACATTGTCTGCACTATCCACTGGCGCCAAGCGGTGCGCGCCCGTTGGCCGACGGCGATTGAGGGCTCCACTAGAGGGCTGGCCGCTACTCCACCATTATGTCTGGCAGGAGGAAGTGGAACTTGAAGCTAAGTACGTACAAGTACTGTGTAGGTGGCCGACGCCCCGCTTTCCTGTACCCCCCCCCCCATTTCTAGTGTACACTAGTGTAGTGTACTTGCCTTTCGGATTTCCTTGGTTGCCTTCCTTCAGTGAGTTCCAAAAAACAAGCCTGCCGACGAGTCCCGCAAACGAGTCAGTCAGGTCGACAGTTGTTGACTGCCACTGATGATGAATGGTTGAGGTCAAGTGTCGATACTCCTCAAGCAATGCAACCATGCAACAGCTGCACTCCTGCCTGCGCAGAAACATGAGACACACAAAAAAAGAAAAAAGAGGGCCGCCCCGAAGGAAGGATTCACCACTCAGGATGGATGCGGCATGCGTCCACGAGATCGGCTCGGGCATGCTGTGCCGCTCTGGATCCCTCTGGTCCCAAAGTCGGGTACCTACCTACTACCTACGTCTCGTCCTCAATAGTGTATTGCAATATGTACCTTACAAGTTTCCTGGTGGGTTTCTTCTCTGGTATTTTGCCCCCGTCAATTGCGACGTCAACTGGCCGGCCATGACGGATCGAAAATCTCCACCCCCCCTTCCCTCCTCCCCTTCCCACTGTTGTTGTGTTTTTTTTTTTTTTGTTTTTTTTCCTGTCTCAACACCCCTCACCTCTGGCGCCATTCGCGACGGGGGCTACCTTTCCAGCATCCAGCTTGCAGGTTCGAAACCAAAGGAAAGTTGGAACTCGACCTTCCCGATTCTGGATCGGCGTACATGACTAGGACACCCATAGATGTGGTCATTGGGGGTTGCAAACTAGGCGCAGTATGCCGCAGCAGGTAACGGTACAGTAGCCTGCTTGTGGCCAGACTATACTTATACCTAGAAAGTAACCAGACTGCGACACGAGGTGCAACGAGGTGAGCACTTGTTGCAGGGACACAGCGGCACTACTGATAAAAGAAGCAGACCATTTGTTGGGGCAAGTAGTAGAGGTAGGTCAAAAGGGGAGAACCGACACCCGGCACGTCGGATTCAGCGCTTGGATAACGGCCCTGAAAGATAACCTACCACGGCCTGCCCAACGCAGGTTGGCGCGGTTAGAGCACAAGATTGTGCGCAGCAAGGAGAACCTCCCAGAGATGATGGTGGTATTCCTCATGTGATATAACGTCTCCACGGTCCTGAGGGTACAATGGGAATGACGGAGATGACGAAGTGATGGGGGGGGGGGGCGCCCATACGGGGTAGGACGGGATCTGCTACGTACCCTTGACAGCAAAATCGAGCTTCAATGTAACCCGGGGAACGGAAGCACATCATCCAGACGAGCAATGCCAGACCTGTCAATATGGGACCGACCTCGATGCTGCCTCGCAACGGAACCAAGGGGTGAGAGATAGGTAGGTAGGTAGGTACTCTCGAGCAAAATGGGGATAATCCCATCAAACCCACAACATGGAAATTACGGGGTCTGCCGCGCTCCCCTCCAATTCCTCCGTCGCCTTTGGTTAGTTAACGTTTTACAGACCCTGATCCACAAACCAAGTAGAGGTAGGTACTCTCGGATGTGCGCTTCAGGAAAGGCGGGCATAAAGCAAAGCCGGCCGGGTGCGTACCTGCGCAGCCCAGCCTCACCTATTCCTAGCTTGTGTTGCGCTTAGCATCTCTGGGTCTGGTCGGCTGTACCTGGGAGGCTGTTCAGCCCCGTAGCGCGGCCCTGTCCTGGTGAGGAGACGAACGGCAACGGGGAAGAAAAGGAAACACGGGCACATAGGTGGGGAATGGATTCTCTGGGCAGACCGACCAGTCCGGGGCAAGCCGGGATGTGGATAAAAACATAAGCATTCCATCCGCAGTTTGGCATGTGGAGTGGAGGGCCCAGATGTAGGCCTGCAGGAGTCTGGTATGTACCTACCTACACACTCAGCAAGCCTCGCAGGGCATACTTCTTAGTGTTGGTGCAGTGCCCTGGGACGGACAGGGGCTGGAGTCGGTACAGGGTCGACCCTGCTCACTGCCTTTCCCATCCCTCGACCTACCTAGTCATTCGTCTTCCTTTTCCCCCTCTCATCATGGTCACTGGGAGGAAATGATCCCACTTTGTTTTTCTTTTTTAACAGCCTACCTACGTATTCTACACCCCACTTCCCTATCTCTCTCCACATCTCGCCCAGTATTCTTCAAAGATCAATACACTACTCATCCCTCGCTTGACTATCTCGAATAGGCTTCCTGGCAATGGGCAGTAGTCAAGTTGTTTGCCATGTGCGCAAGGGCAACATAGCGTCAGGTGTGTGTGTGTGTGTGAAAGAGAACACACAAAAACGGGACCCCCGTCCCCCGTCCCCAATATGCATGTATCTGGGACGGAATGGGGATGTCCAAGTATCCACATTTCACCCTACTGTACGTACCGCTATGTTCCATACAGCACCAAACGCCATCGATCCATTCACCCTCATCCACAACGAACACATCCTGGCCTGGGACCGCAGACCCTGATGCCACTATTCGAGTCTGGCCTTGTCTTCTTCTTCTCTAGGTAGCAACAAGCTACAAGGAAGCCTTTTAGTTTTCCCGACATCTCCAATGCCAGTATCGTGTTCGGTACCCGTTTGAGGATCGCCGTCTTCTCACTGAGAGAGTACTTGAATACCCCGTGGCTCGCTCTTTTTCTTACATCGTGATTTTCAAGGCTTCATAGGTAATTAACCATCTCTCGCCGGAACAGCCTGCATTGATCACCCTGCCGGCCTCGACGCAAACGACGGCAACACCAAGGACAATACCACCTAGACCCATCGCTTCACATCGTCTGCATCCCTCAGTGGCACCCTGGTCGAACGTTTGGGGCGGGGCTTTGCTGTTCTAGAGAACCCGACTGTGTGGTTCAGGCGTCTAGTTTAGGCACTGCTTGATAGGCCTTCTGCGAATCACGGCCCGGAGCTGCCTCTACCACCAGCACGTTTGCTTTTGCTCTCCAGTATTAAAACTACAATCAAGTACCTCCCAGGTCCCGAGACCAAACCGTTATCCTTAGTTCTGCAGCACTTTCCCCGTCTGGCTACCTACCTATTCTTCATCTTTTCCCTCCCCCCAGCTACATCACACAAACTCATCATGCTCTACTTAAACAAACGCTCTCCTTCCGAGGAGCTGGCCTCTGTTCACAACCCAATTTCTCCCCCTGCTATCTCTACTTGGCATCATTCTCTAGACGACCAGAAGATGACCGAGGTAGTCCCATTCCCTCAACCACAACACCTCTACCCATTCGGTGGCTCAGCACATCGTTTGCTCGCCCCTGCCCCTGAGCAAAAGTCTCCTTACTTCTCTCCAGACTTATATCGCGAGATGCCTGTCTACCCCGTGGGCTACCATACCACCTCTCATCTGCCCAGGTCCCCCCCAGAGGCCCGCTCGGCTTCGGTCTCGAGTATATCCTCTTCGGCCTCCCACGGCACACCTGCCATGTCTTCCTCTCGGACCATGTCACCCGTCACGGACTCCAACCCTGACACTATGGCAAGTCCCCCGGTCTTGACCAGGACGTATAACCCGCCGTCGTCCTATCAGCACACACACAACACCTCTCAGGCGCTCCCTTCGTCATTAATCCCCGCCCCATCGCACTACATGGATATTCAGGTCGCCCCTCCGCCACCAATGTCGCTCTATCCTTCGATGCCGGCCTTGTCACAACGAACAACGACGTACCCACCATCATCCTCATATGATTACCACCAACACATGGGCCACCCTTACCCATCTCAGCAGTCAATGCACAGCTATCAGCTACCGCTACACAACTATCAACCTGTGTACAGCTACACCAGCGCCCAGGCCTATCCCAGCCATTCAGCAGGCGCAATATTACCCTCGTTCGCTCCCGCGCTAGGGTCCTCAATCATGTCCCTTCCGCATACGCAACGTCACGACAAGGCTCCTATTGAGCGTTTACTGAAAGACAAACACGATATCGTCATGATGATCCAGTCACACCTGGACTATTTCGATGTCACCAAGGCTCAGATGGCGAGCCGGTGGTTCAGAGATCACTTTGACCCCTCCAAGTGCCCTGAAGAAGACAAGATCCGGTGCGTCATGTTCGCCGAGATCAACTTCAAGCGATTCTGGCCCAACAACACCTCCTCGGGTGGCCGGGGCGGCGACAAGGATGATGGCAAGCATCCCGGCTCCTTTGGGTGCTACCACTGCTTCAAGGTCAAGAGCCCCGAAAACTTTGAGCTGTTCAGGTGGAAGAATGATCTGGAGGATGCGCCTGAGAGCAGCAACAACAATAAGACCAATGCCAACGACCAAAAGAACTCCGCCTCCTCAAGAAAACAACAACAACAAAATCAAGCATCAACAATCAACACCACCCAAGGCTCCCCCAAACAAAACCCACCTCTGTCCCCTTCCACATCCTCCCACACCTCCACCTCTTCATTCTCTCTAACCTCAAACCCCCATTACGACCCCTCTGTAACACGCTCATCCCTCGCCGCCGCCGCCGCCGCCTCCACCAAGGGTCAAACCGGCAACACTCGCCGCGGCCCTTCCTCCTCTTCCTCCGGCACTTATTCTTGTTCGGACCAATCCCCCCGCATCCAAGAAACCTGGGGGATCCGGCGTTTCTGCATCGACTGCGGCATCAAAAAGAAATTTTACAGACCGGGGGTCCTGATCGAGCTCCACAAAGAGAAGAACGCGGTGTGGGTGTGCGACTGCTGGGTCACGCATAAGAGGCCGCAGGAGCTGGATTGCAAGGTTTGCAAAAAGATATTGCCGCTGAGCACGCCGAATCGGAGGAGATGTTGATCTGGGGGTGTGACTTTGGGGGAGTCATTTTGGGGGGTATTTTCATTACCGGATTAGAATCGATAAGTTAAAGGCTTGGACTTGGGAATACTGCTTCTTGGTCGAAGGCGTTGGGATACGTTGGGAGGGTTCAGCGTTGTCTTTTTCTGTGTTTTTGATCTCTTCTCGTGTTCATGATTTTCTTGGGTTTTGGATACATGGCTTACATCAATTCCTTCCTTCTTCTTGGAAACACATTTTACTTTGTTTACGCACATGTCCTCCTCCTTCCTTTCATTGGGGGTGGGGGTAAGATTTATTACTAAAGATACCACATTATTCCCTTCGTCTTCTTCTTCTTCTTCTTCTTCTCCATCAGCTTTACTGCTTCTTCATGTTGACCCTATTCCTTCTTTGCCTTGTCCATATTATTTGTTATTGATCGGATGAGGGAGGTCATCTACACAACGCGATGAAAATCCCACATTTTGGGCGGCAAAATCTGATCAATTTTTTGAACCTTTAACAAACTTGGGGCGTTCCGGCCAATTTGATACCTTGCCGTTCAGTCATCATCATCATCAACAATGGACTCTTTTCTAACTAACTAAAACATTTGGGCACACATGGTCATTTGCAAATACCGAGGGCTTACGAAGGTACGTGAAAACTTGGTTGATATTTCACAAGCATAGTATAGTAGGATGAAGTTTGGGCATCAAAGTTATACTGACTGCGTGACCGACGATGTAATAATGGGCCGTTGGTAACCCCCTATCCTTCCCTTTGACAATGGATGTAAACCTCAAACAAACATTAATAGCACGAAGATAACTATATTATCTTTTACTAGTGCAGTCACTACGGAATTTTCAATGTAGAGATAGGAAAAATGCTCGCGATTGCTTCAATGCTGTTGGCGTCATCGATTTCTCCCATCCTTTTTCCGGTCTGTCTTCCCCCGATATCGATTTATACCTACCTCCTCCCTACATGCATTCCTTCCGTTTCCATGAGGTCTGGCAAATACAAAGTGTAACGGCGGCCACGGTCGGTGACTGTGCAAGGTTACTTGGAAATGGTCCCCACGATGCAGAGTGAGTGGTCAGTTTTCAGTTCTCAGTTCTCGTAGACTCGCTCGGCGTATGCACAAACGGGAGAGAAAAAGTCATGGGGAAATCGTGGCGTTTGAAGCAAGCAAGGGGGTGGTGGATCGACTGACTGACTGACTGACTGTGTCAAACTTCAGGGAAGCATTTTTCATCTCGAGTCGCCATCCATGCCTTCTCAAATTTGGCCTATGGCACTGAGCGGCGGTGTCTCCGGATTCTTTATGGCTTGCGTGGGCGTTTCTGACAAGCAAGGTTATTGTTTACCTACCTGCCAGCAGAGATAAACATGGGACTATGGGAAAGGAAAGGGCGAGTATGTCCCGCAACTTACTCTCGGGTGGTCTCTCATCCGATTCTTCGCTTTTTCTTAGCTTCCATTACGTGTATTATTATTTCTGCTCATCCTCCTCTATCCTCGGTTCGTTTTACGTGCGCAGACCCCAGACCACAATGTACACCTAGGTGAGCTTTCATGTAACCGCGTATCTAGGCCTCTGTTACCCGGACCGTCGTTGCTCTCCCAGAGTTACATTGACAGTTACCAACCTCGACCGTCCCTCCCACCTCCCCGACAAGCCACATACATAATCCCTTCCCCCCCCCTTTGATAGCGACAAATACCCCCCTCTTCTTCCATTTCGTATCAACAGGGACCGTTCTTCTGCCTTACCTGGCAAACATACCAAGAGGCTCACTTCCCATTGGTCAACCATGGAGTTCTGAACAGCCACGGGTAAGCACCTCATCACAGCCTTTCTATGTTCAATGTTACTCTGATCCAGCGATCTACCACGATAGAAGAGAACGGGAGGGTCATCATCCAGAAAGAGGCAGCTCACAACAGGCGCGTGGTAGTAACCACCGCGCGTCAATCACCAAACGAATAGAAGACTTCTCTCTATTGCAACGTTCCTTCGTCACCGAGAGATATATCTTGCTTTTCGCCGTACATATGTGCCTATATCAAGCCTACTCAGCTTTATGTAAATTAGTGACTGGGGGGTAAAGGTAGCGTGGCTGTAAATCATAGGGACGGATGAGTGCTATGTGATTCCATGTAAGATGGGCCCGTGGTACGACTTGGATGGTTCCACTTCCGCGATCTTCATACTACCAAGCTTGACGGTCTCGGGGCAATGCTTGTTCAGAACAGAGATGGGTCAGACTATGACAACGGCTGGACTCAGACAGTCACGAATACGCGAAGCACCGAGTCCAAATTGAGGAGCTCACCGACTCAAGAGCCAACACGCACCGACTGCATTTCGATTGTTGCATTGGCGTCTGGCGTAATAACAAATAAGAGTAGCTACCAAGCTGTCGGGATTTGATATCTGATATTTGGGACGCTTGCACTTGTTTGTCTCAAATTCCCCTCAAACTGGCTACATCATTTCCGTAAGGAGCCGAGGAACTTTGCCTCTTCCTTGTACCCCGCGTCCACAAGATAATATGCAAATGCAAGGAAATGTTTTTGAGGGAATGCGGAGGAGAGGCAGAGACTGTGACATGGCATGATTTTGCTGTGGCTAAGTGCTTCGGCGGCTAATCGACGAAGCGTTCTTCGCGGCACTTTCCTTCAGCCACCCCGGGGAAGAGGTTTGGGTAATGGGATTTTGTCTGCTTGTACACCCGAGACATTTTTCGTCGTAAATGGACTCCTAACCATGAACCCTAGTTCTAGTAGGTGGGGAAGATGTGAATCCGGGGTATATCATTGAAGGCGGGGGCAAAGAAGAAAAGAGCAGCTTATCTTGTTCCAGGCACCCACCGAGCCATTGGAAGCTCACTGGAGTATGGGATAGGTTCACTTTGAAGATCCGGTCTCCTTGCCACCCCTGTCATCATCTCGGTTATGGAGAGCATCGGCACGTCGGCACTGAAGACCTGTGTTCGCCTCTTGGTGTACATTCGGTTCCGATGTGAGGAAAGTTGCTCTGTCAAGCCCGTATGGAAACTGCAGCTTGCATGCAGCCATCTGAAAAAGGACGTCAAAACAACCATGGAGTAGGAGGCAACAAAGAGAAGAATAGCAGAAGACGGTGAGAATGAATATCTGGCTTTGATGTCCAATACGGGTCCCTGTAAGGAAAAGCAAGGGAGGTCATGGGGGGGTATGGGAAATTGTGGGTCAATGAGGCCAATGAAAAATGTCCTTCCGAATTCGAACATGCACATTGGACGAATGTCATTCGTGGTCAGACCGAGGGTGGTGGGCGACCTATGTGGCTTCCAAGAAGATTGTCTCTGAGCCACGCTTCCAGCTAAGAGTCTGATCGACCGCCATGTAAGAGTCCGTCTTCAGCCCATCCTGCTAGCAAACGATTCTTACGGTGTGCTGTATGAATCGAGATTCCGTGAAGCGCTTAGCGCGGCACTTTTCGACGTTCATTGGCAGGAGGTTATAATGGCTGTCGTGATGCGAGATCGGTGAAACGTATATCTGGCCGTGATAAGTTTAAGGTTCCTGTTGTACCTCTGTTCACACAATCGAAGGGTCAACCAGACACTTTACTATTCGGTACGGACTTGGATCCAGGAGGTGTCATCCGGCTAAGGAACAGACGCAATCTCATGAACATTGTCTCCTTGACGAAACCGGAAGCCTATGCCTGGCGAAAAGATTCCAAATAGCGGGCAAATTTGCCGGCTAGCCGGTGTCATGATCGAACGGTGAGGAGACCAGAAGAACATCAAGGAAGTTTAGTCGGCGACTTGAACCGTTCTGTCGGGCCCGTACCCATTCGCTCCTAGGAGAGTCGAGATTCAGGCTAACTGTTTTCATAACCGACCAAGAACATGGTTGGCGAGCTGTGCAATGTTGGTCTGTGTTATTTTTTCTAGACGAACCCATTGCGCTAGGGATGTCTTTCACCTCTGCTATTCAGTAATGGTTTGCTGCAGACGACTAGCAGCTAGGCCGAATGAGAGGAGAGAGAGTCGGCGATCTTGACGCCATCTGGTTAGGCGGAACGGCATGTTAAGCCCAGCCGCGCTGGCGCTTAATTCGGAGCTAGCTGACATGCCCGAGCGTACGGTCACCGTGGGAGTAAGGGCAAGAGGCCAGGATTCGGGACCATCGATCCGGCATGTTGGGGTTGATAAGACGGCCGCATGAATAGCAACGCCCCTTTGCATACTGCTTGTAGCTGTGTTCGGAATGAGGTGCTAGTGAGCAAGTGTCCAGAGGTAGGTAGAGGTAGTGATATCAGGGTATGTATTGGTAGGATTTGGCGAGGTTGCAGATCTCACTGGCTCAAGTAATATGATGTCGGATAGGTGCAAGCCTATGATTTGCGAGATCAGATCGTGAAGAGGGCAAATCTGTGGAGGGAAGAAGTCGCACGCTCGCAGCTGTGAAAAAAGATTGGGGTCAGCAGGGATGCAACTCAAGGGGTTTGGTGTGTTGCGTGTATGCGATACAATGATAGTGGGCGGTGTTACGGGCCGCATTACCTTGAAACGAATATGCATGTAGCGAGACTGCATCCTTGTTGACGTCGTCGCTTGTCGATGTCCGGCGTTGTTTACACCCTCTCCGCTCAACACCACCGATATCAGGGCCGGAAGAATCAAGATATTGCCGAAGCATCGTCGGAAGTGTCATTCGTTCGTTCGCAACGCCGTAATCGAGACATGAGACCGGGCTTGAATGAAATACGGTGAGGAGCTGCAGAATCTTGTTAGATGACTTTAACCTTGACGTGCTGGGGCAGGTAGGGTGTTGGCTCAAACACACAGCCTATTTGCAGCAAGTCGCCGAAAAATGATGCCAAGCCTGGCCGGCATGTCTGAAGATTCAAAGCGGTCGGCGACGGGGCTCGATTCACCCAAGTGGTGGTGTGGTAGCTGCCCGGTAGAGTGTCACCATCATGCCAGTTGGTTGGTCATCTGATGGTGAAAAGGTCAAGGGACGTGGGAGATAACGGCTGCTTGGGCTGTTTGGTTGCCACGTCAAGACTCACGGCAGCGCCGACAGGACTGCCATGGACTCGTTTTTTTGGATCGGGATAATTGAATTGTTTTGTGGGAGCAAAGAAGAGATTTCTTTGGCTGTTCATGGGTGCCACTGTCGCACCTTCCCCATTGACGTGCACCTCAGAATATTCACGACGGCTTGTGCCTTCCATTCTATGCTGCTATCTAGAGGTAGAGGTAGGTAGCTGTGCCCCGTTTCCCTTGGACAGCACGGCAGGTGCCTCTGATCATCTGAAGGCGGCTAATGGCTGATCCTTACTCTCAGTCACTGTGGTCATTTTGGCTCTCAGCTTCCAATGGCTCGAGGCTTTTCCTTTCCAGTCTTTGCTCTCGTTCCATGTCTTCTCCCTATACAATTTGGACACAATGATATTGCAAACATTACTGATACTATCTGTAGCAAAGTCCTTAGAACCCGAGCCTGTCAAAATTCAGGGGCCAAAAGGCATGCCCGGATACCCACGAGACCATCAATCTGTCCATGTTAGGCTTTCAGCAAACCTCAATGGATATGAGACTGGCTCTCTGTCTGATGTGGGGCTCCAGACCGTGCTTGACGACGATGATTACATGTTTGTCCATGCCGTCTCTGGCGCTCGCGACGACCCCGGAAACGGTTCGAGCCTTGGAGATTACACAAGAGGGGCGGCACTCGACCATAGCATGTCGCTGCAGCTTCGCTGATCAGTCATCTCTCCTCTGCATCGTACACAGTACACACCCTCTCAATACACCGACCAACCACATGTCTGGGGGTCGAGTAGTTCCCCCAGCAGGCATGGGGCGGGGGTCAAGCAAGGCCTCATGTCTTCATGGTGTGGTCATACTCTGTTTTCTCCTGCATCCTCCTATCAAACCGTCCAGGTGCATGTGAGCATACACATCCACACGCACATCCGTCAGCCGTTTACCCTCGGACGACGACAGGTCACTGGCCGATTATCCTTTGCTCCGATGTAACATGATATCAGGAGTACAGACACATATCGGCGATCCAGAAATGGCAGCCGTGTCGTGGCCCGCAAAGGCTTGACACGGCATTTGCAGTTTTGTTCCTTACACCACCACCTATCCCGGAGTGCGGAGACACTGTTCTCTATTCCAAACATATGCTGTTCTTGCAACAGCACAGACATAGCGACCGGACCACTCCGTGGAAAACAGAGGCGTTTTGGGCCGTGATAAGTTTCTTTCGCAAGCGCATCTCTCGCCAGTATCCGGCCAAAGTAGAACCGACTCGAGATGTCCCGCAGAATCCCCTACCGAGCCATGATCGGAAGACCCTGCGTAGGACCGTACCAAAGCAGGAGGCATGCTTGAGTACACTAATCCGGAATGTTGTTTGACGGCAACAGCAATAAGGCTAACGCGATTAGAAGCATCTTGAACGTTAGCTACAAGCGGGAGGAAATCGCTCATCACCAACATCACAGTCTAGAATCCAAACTGTTGTCGAGCTCGACCCATTGTGCTTTCTCCTGCAGCAGCCGAAACGTTCAATTCCGCTTACATCCCTTTTCCTACTCGGCCTGCGCCTACTGTGTTAGAAATGAGACAGGGGGGTATTTTCTTCCTTTGCAATAGCGCAGCCACAGGGTAGCTAGGGCTAATATCGGAAGCTGATACTCCTTTCTTTTTCGTTTCTGCATCCTTCCCCGCTGTTTCCAGAATATTCTTCTTCTGACGAATAATCACAAATCATTTCCTTGGTGGCAGCCAAATGGAGATTGCTATCTGCTCATGCCTAGCAATGTCTCACCACCAGCTGACTGACGCCTGTCCACAAAAAATCAGTGACTGATCACCAAAGGTTTGCTCGGCTGGCTGAAACCCCAACCTCAGAGGATGGACTGCCTAACGACTAACTTGTGCACAAAAAAACTCACAAGGAAACAACTAGGCCGTGAACAGCATGAAATGGGCGAATTAAAGCACACGCACAACAATTCTGAAGCCGGTGAATTGAAGAAAGAAAAATAATAGGTACAAAAAAAAACTCGCAAAATTTTAGCTGCAACTCGTTTCGATCGAGTGACCTCCGGGTTATGAGCCCGGCGCGCTTCCGCTGCGCCATGCAGCTGAAATATGATTGGATGTATTATTGGCGTTTTTGGAAACTCTATATAGCCGTCACAGATAGACATAAGTGTTTCGTTCTTCCCTCGCCTCTTTCAGCATTCTAGGTCGCAACGATTCTCAACAAAGAATATCGATCATACTACGTAGCTCCTAGGGAAAATTCTCAGAATAATTCCGTTATTTTCAAGGAAGGAAGCTGTGCACGGCGATGTCCTCAATGCACAAATTGAGCTTGCAGTGCTGTTGTCATGGCTCGTGCATCTGGAATATAACTGGTGACGGTACACTTCGCCTGTTGAACAGAACAGGTGGTGGTGGTTGGACACTCGTCCATAGCTTCGTCACCAAAACAGAGATCTTGTGCGAAGCAATCAGAGGACCGAGGATTTGATATAGGAATGCTTATCAACGTCTTCTGATGCAAAAAGCATAATACTGCAGTTCGGGTAATGGTTTTTTTTTTTTTTTTTTTTTTTTTTTTTTTTGTGGGCGTGACGGCGGCGGTGGAGAGCTTGGGATGAGGGCCTGAAGAAGGGAATAAATGTCCACTCTTGAACAAAGATGGGGTTCAATGTAGTGTATGATTGTCTGTACCATTGATTACCTACTCATTGTGCCAAGTATCTAGAGGTAGAATTGAAAGTAGTGGGAAATAGGAACATTACAATCTGGCCACTGCACGAGACCCATCGATATCAATTTTTCTTGTGCCCTTAGATTTTCAACCACTAGTCACAAACAAGTGGTAAACAAAGAACCCCGTAAACATGGTACGACATGAAGAATGAAAGGAAAAAAAAAAGGAATTGTTAGGGAACGTGATTCTAACTGCCTCCACTGCACAAGGTAAACCAACAATTACCAAAAGAAATCCTGAGCAAGTGAATTAAAATTGCCCAACTCACAAACCCCCCTTCTCATTATCTGGATTCCCACTCGGCACCGCCACAAGACTCGTTGCCACAGCCGTCACCACCTCCGTCGCCGACGGGAACGGCCAGCCCTCCGTGGTAGTGTAAGTTATGGTTTCCAGGAGACTTACTGTTCTGTCTCCCTTACCGACTTCACCACCACCGCCAACACCACTTCCGGAACCTGAGCCTGGGGCGGCGGGGGCGGAGGCACTCGGTGCAGCAGTGGCAAACCCAGTAGACCCAAGAGAAGTCCAAGACCACGTGAAACCAGGGAAGGTAGTAGTCCAACTCCAGGAGGAACCACCACCGCCACCTCCTCCTCCCGCTCCGGCGCCGGTATTTGAAGGAGCGCTGGCAGTGACTGGGCTAGCAGTTACCGTTACAAAAATGATACTTGGAGCTGGGGCTTGAGGAGCTTGTGCGGCAGTTACTGTCGTTGTTCCTGGTCCTGATCCCGAGCTACCACCACTGCCACCGCCGCCGCCACTGCCAAGAGTAATAGTGACAGTGCTAGCCACCGCCGTCTGAGCCGGCAAGTTGGCTGCATTATTGGAGTTGGTGACAGTGACAATGACCGGAGTAGGTGGAGCGGTGGGAAGGATGACGGGGGCAGTCACTGTTGTGACAATGATAGGTGCTAGGGAGCCACCACCTGCGATGGAGTTGGCAGCAGAGCCATTGGAGCCATTACTGGTAGCTGCTTGGCCTCCCGCGGCGGCTGAGGAAGGGGCAGGGACGATGTCGATTACTACAACTGTTGGAGCTGCTGCTTGTGCTGTTGCGATGGAGGGAGCGATGGCAGTTGCAGAGTTATCGGGAAACCCCGAGATGCCAGAGAAGACGGAAAAGCCAGCTGGCTGAGAGACCAAGGCGTCGATGATCACGGTGGTGGTGCTGGTGAAGGACTGGGAATTGGCGATGGTGATGAAATTGGTGGCGGCTGCGGTTGTGGGAGCGGGCACGGAAACAGGATCGCCGGCTGCTTGGGTAATGCTCACGACAATGACGCCAGGGGCGCCGTTGGCGGCCGGGGGGTCTGCGGTGATGAGGACTGTCTGAGTCGTGGTCGGGGAGGCGGCACCGCCTACACCGGGAGTGATGACGACTGGGCCGGCGGCAGATTTGCTTGTTGCTGAGGGAGGCACGACGACGGCGCTGGCGGAGCTGATGCCTGGAATTGGGGATGTGATTGAGGGCACCACGACAGCGACGCTGCTTGAGGAAACTGGTGGGGCTACTGGTGTTGCTGAGGGAGTGACTGCTGGGATGGAGGGTGCTGCTGAGGTGAGTAAAGGGGCTGTGAGAGTTGCATTGGAGGGTGTAGGTAGGGGAGCAATGCTCGTGGAGTTGGGAAAAACACCTGCGGCAGAGGAGTTGCCTTCTGCTATAGGACCGCCGGTTCCAGTGACGATGGGACCCGTGGGCGTTGGCACCGGAGGCGATACTGGGGGTTCGGTACCCGGAGGAGCTGGGGGAACGGACACTGGGGGAACGGACACTGGGGGAACGGACACTGGGGGAACGGACACTGGGGGAGCGGACACTGGGGGAGCGGACACTGGAGGAGGGGATGCCGGAGGAGCCGATGATGGTGGAGCCGATGATGGTGGAGCGGATGCCGGCGGTGCGGATGCTGGAGGGGCGGATGCCGGAGGAGCTGTCGCTGGAGGGCCCGCCGCTGAATCTGTGTCCGCGCGGACGTCGGCTGGTGCACGATTGATGGGATAGGTGAACCGATGTTTGATGTGCTCCTCCTGGTCATTGACCTCTTGGTTGTTGAACAGATTCCATCGTTTGACGAACCCACGAAGCCCGTCAGAGAAATGATTTCCACTCTGTATTTGCTCCTGAGTAGACAACTGTGGAATAGCTTGCTTGTTGAGTTGAGATTGTCTATGAGCTGGTGCAGCTATGACAGACGTGCTTGCTACAAGCAAAGCAACAGCTAATGTTGGTAGCTGCATGGTGTCTGTTTACTTGCTGACGCCTGGGCGTTTCTGGTCGAGAGATGGTTTACGTTCTTTTGTAAATGAGCGTGGTGTCTTTGTTGTGTGAGGACTGCTTGACAACCTATATTAAGACAAGATTCGTTCAGGGGAAGATATATAGACAGGCCGAAGTATGGGGAACATTTGTTATAATTGCCACCTGGACTTGGTCCATTGCCATCAGGGATCCTGTTGTCAGTAGGGCCTTGTTTCCTCTCCTGTTCGGCCGTTCCGAAGCGTACAAGCTTCAACCGCATCTAAATACCAGTATTGGGAAGGGATACCTCGGACATGGCGTCATACAAATCTGCTACCATCGGGAGTCAGCATAAGTGATGCTACTCTTTGCATCGGCATCGAGATGAGTGATTTCCAGAGAAGACCTCAAAAGTACTACCATTAGAAGAGGCTGATTTTCATGGTGGTCAGGTGCAGCCAATTCTTTGAGCCTATGGTATGGGCAGAAAGATCCGTACATATGTACAAGTAAATCCCCAAGCCTGTTCGTGCCACTGCCGCGAGTTGGCAGGTATGACTGTGAGATGAGGACAATGTCAGGAACCGTGAGCGTCGAGTCCTGTGACACTTTTACAATGTCGGCCCTCGATCTGTTCTTGAGAATCTTCGACCATGGTTCGCCTGGTATCTTCACAGCATCGTAAGAATCATCAACGACCAGAAACCGCAGCTGACGTTTTGCATGGAGTGTCTCAGTATAAACTCCGAAGTTGACTTGTGATGAGACCAAACAGGAAGCCGACACACCCCCTTATTTTGTGAACTTGGTTCGGGGCACACCAGAATAAGGTGACGTGTCGAAGTGTGAGACCACGAACGAACTTTTGTGCTCGTACCATGAGACCGGCTTGACCGTCCGAGGTCATCTCAGGAAGGGGCATCTTACACGACTGAACACTGGGAAATCCATGTGGATGACGAACCGTAAAAAGAAGTGGTGGCCGCTTGGTTTACAATGTGGTCTCGGTGGTTCGTAAGATGGTCAATGTTCGCCCAACTTGACGATAACCCACAGACAAAACGTTTCCTATGAAGGATTTGGTGTCCAATTCGTGGATGTTTCCGGCCTGTGTGATTCGAATAAACCGATTAACGGTACGTTTCGTATTGCTGGGAAGAATGACCGGAGATGGTGTTCTTACCATGGGCTTTTCAAGCATACCCCAACCGACCGACGGGCTGGGCCAATGCTGCGCCATCATATAGCAACCACTTGACAGCCTTCCTAGATGGTTTCGGGTGGATTATCTCTCAGAGGCGATTTATTGGCCCCGAAGTGCAACAGGAAATAACTTGCTGTATTCCGAGTCCTTATGACCCAACTCGCAAGCAATGGCACGTTGAGCCTTCCCTATCTCTTCAATATCATCATGGACAAAGCGACGTCCTAGTGATGGTATATCAGTGCCTTATGATAAACTTTCAAGGAGCAGGCCGATTATTCAAAGAATCGCATTAGTTAGCCACTCCAGCCCCAAATGGAAAGCATTGGTGTACTTTGGGATATGCTGACGCAGGGACGCGTCGCCCGTGAAGGTGTGACAAAGTCAGCATTGCCCACATGGGAATGTCGCATCGCCAGCCTTTATGTTGCTCCAACTGCAACAGCTACAGTAGCCAGTAAATGGTTCGCCACTTGACCTGTGGGAGCAGGTTGGCTGTAGGTAGAGATGAGAAGGATTCAGAGCCGTATGTTGTGGAGGCACACCAATATGGCCAAATAGCAACGTGGTCTGTCGAAGAACATGCTGCGTTTGAAAGCCTTATAGTGTCGACTCAATGCGAAGATGCGGTGACAATTGCGCTTGTCCTGAGGGTTCGGGTTTCCCTGAAGCTTGCTATCCATTCGAACGATAATGGCTCATTGAGCTTTGAGACGGACAGGAGCAAAGCATATATGATGCTCGTAGTCGCATGAAGTGGGAGGCGTTGTATGTGGTTGAGTGCGCTGTACTGAAATCGTCTGATATCTTTACCGTCGTGGTGCTCTCCAAGTCTTGGTGGCCAATCTCGTCGTTGAAGCGTCAATTTGACTCAATTCGTCTGATAGTGGTAAGATGGGACGCAATAATGTTGTGCCGGCAATTGAACGATATGCGGTGTTTGCCTCTGAGGGGCGGTGAGAGGTCAGTTTACCGTGCTTTGGATGCCAACTGGTGATGTTGATGTCGTCTTTCACAGAGTGCTCCTGCTCTGTTGGAAAGCTCATTCCTATGGCCACACCTGACAACTGTTAGCCTCGCCTTGAAAGCAGATTGCTCATCTAAACATGGAAGTTATGCCAAAGATAAGTGTGTCATGAAACAACAACAACATGAAGCAATTGCAAACACCGACATAGCCCATCGTTTGGAATGGCATCAGTAGACGTTGGGTTGTTGCACTATTCCCATATTTCTCACCTATCCCATGTTAGTTCAGTCCCATATCTGCCCAGGTTAGGAACGGAAGGACCAGATGAGAGCCCACCGCTGGTCCATCTTATCCGTGTCAACGGGGTGGTTCTGGTGAATGTAAATACTTGAAGGTTCCTTCTCGCCAAACCATTCACTTGCTTGTTGAGGCTTGACCTCAACATGTGTATATAAACCGCAAGATATCCGGGCTTCCCATCTCTTACCCTCTTCCTCTCCCCTCACCACCACCAACTACTCATACCACTCACTTAAGTCCCAGTTTTGGTTGATTCCGGTCCTTTCTACATCAGTTTTGGTGATATTTTAGACCCAATATCACATAGACACTTACCTGAGTTAACGTCAAGATGCCTTCAACCAAAACGGTTAACGTCTCCGAGAGTACACCTGGGGACTCAAATGGAACTACGAGCCCCAGCCAGATCATACCTTCGACGGACAGAGCATCTGACCTATCACGGATCGATCCTGCCGTCAGCCTTTCTACGTCCTCCACTGAGGATACACCGAAGGACCCGGCTGTTGCAACAGACACCAGCCCAGCGATGCCACCACTGGACGCAGAAAATGTTGCCCTGCCAGACGACGAGTACGATGAGGATATGCTTGAAGTCAGTTCGCTTTACAGCGTAGTTTTGTCACTTTGGATACTGACACCTTCTCTCAGGTAACACCTCCTGCCGATCATGAGGCAACCACCCCGAAAAGTGACAATGTCGAGCTTGCAAACCATGAGCCGACAGACCTGAACACCACCAACGGGGACCAAGATGACACCCATCCTGAGAATATTAACGCGCTTGCCATAAGCTTCATATCGTCTTCCTCAGCTCCCACCTCACCCAAAACACCCAAAAGACAAACCGAGTCTTTTTCTGATAACGGAGATCACCATGAGTCCACGGCGTCGTCCTTGTCGTCGACTGAGAGCTGTCCAAAGACACCAACTAAGGAAGGCTCATCGACCTACCCTTTCGTTGTCGAAGACGAGACCAAGAGTCTCTCATTGGACAACCTTGATTTGACGTCCCCGAACTGGATGGAGAACATTGCCAACTTCCTCGAGAAAATCGAACATCTCGAGCCAGACACAGAAGAGATCTTGGAGCCCAGTACCATGGGATTTGTTGAAGGAGAGGAGTATGATGGACCGACCATCGCCCTCCCAGACACCACCGAGTACCATCCTTACTCGAATAACTTCCAAATTCGCCTCTCCAGATATGGTGGCTTTGGAACCTTTGCCACTCGTGACTTGAAGATGGGCGAGGTCATCCTGATTGAGAAACCTCTCCTAAGGACGCCTCGCGACGGTTTTTACACCGAGTTCCTCAAGCTATCCAAAGAAGACCAGGCAAAGTTCATGCAGTTGTATACGCCCCCTGGCGAGTACTCGAGTCAAGACGGAAGCGACTGCAACCACATCAGGGCGATCCTGAAGGCAAACTCATTTGCTATCAACCCCTACAGCAATGACATAATCAGCGTGTACAACGTCACATCAAGACTCAACCATGCTTGCCGGTCGGTGGCCAACGTTCTCTTTGATTTTGATTTTCAGGATCCGGAATCCATCACGTTGACCATCAGCAAGCCTGTGAAAGCCGGCTCGGAGCTGTTCATCAGCTACGGTGGAAGCCCAATGTCGCTCTATGAGCGATACGGGTTCCGATGCTGTTGCGGAGGGTGCGAGGGCGTGACGGATCAAGACATGGCCATAATGAAGAAGGCCAAAGATATCGAGGAATACCTCTGGAATGGTGGTCTTGGAGGTTCAATACCCTAACCCTGCATTTTATGGTCGATGTTTTCCATGAGCATATGTTGGCGGTTGGCGATGATTTGCGATATGGTGGTTACACAACGTCGATTGACAGGAGGTGCCGCATTCTTTGATCAGGGGAGGATCGGGAGTATATTTTGGGCATTGTTACACAACGACCATCTTTATCTGGGAATCAATCAGCAACGGTATATTTAAGACAAGGTGCCGAGGCATTGGGCTAGACTGGCTTGTAGTTCAATCATCAGCGCATGAGGTGCCTTACGTAGAACGCAGTCTTTTTTCCAATTCACAAGTCCGTGGTGCTTTGCTACCGTGAATCAGTGCATAGAAGTATCGTACTGTGATGAGGTGTTATTGATTGCTCGCGGTGGGGCTCCATTCAGAGTGTTGGGCGCTCAGTTGGTGAATGATGATGAATTCTGCGCAGCGACCTAACCTCGACGATTCTCGAAGATGGCGTGATGTGAATTGTTCCCGTTCCGTGACAGAGAGAAGTGGAAGTGGTTGAATTGGCAGTCAGATGTCAAACCGAAAAGAAAGCCCGGCACATGATCGCCTGGTGGTGTGGGGCGCCGTCATCAGGTCTGTAGGGCTGGCTGCCGCTGTCGCCGTTTTTCTGGGGGTGCACGAGCCCCCAAAAACATCAGGCCAGGGGGCCAGGGCATTCCACGACCACGATCCCCGGCCTGGATTGGGCACTTACTACGGACCAGGTACCGTGGTCCAATTGGCGCTGTGTCGGCCGCCGATCAATGCGATAAGCTCTCTCACCGCACTCGTTACAGGCGCCGAGTCACTCCATCACCACCACTCGCGTCTTTCTTTGCGGTTTAGCCTTGTCTCTTCCCCTCCTTCCCCTCTTTAACAAAGAAAAGTTGCGGAAAAAAAAAAAAAAAAAAAAAAAAAAAAAACATTCACAGACGTGGACGCGCGAGAATTGCACGGTCACTTGGTTCTTATTACCGCGGCTGTTTCTTGAGAGAACAAGACACACACCAAAGGAACCAAGTGTCGACGGTATGAATGCATCGACACGTCTGTCCCCACGAGCCAACGCATAAACCACCATCTTCAACTACCTCCACTTAATCGAGGTCTCCATCAGGCACTGCAAGTCCGTTGGGCACCACAACCTCGAGCTGGGGCAGGACTGCAACGATCACCAGCCCCGAAAACTAACACACGAGTATCACGACAACCACTATCAGTCTACTAAACCCGTAGCTCTAATGGGCGTATTCGGTTTCTTCTCCAAACCCAAAAAAAACGCCCTCGAAGCCCATCTAAGCGAGTACCACCGCCAACAACGGCCCGGACCCATCCCTCATCAACAACGCGAGTCCCGCCGCCGACTTGGAGGGACGAGCAGCGGTGGTGTCCCAACATGGAGCAATCCATCCTCTCGGCCCCCTTCCCGTAGCGCCTCCCGGCTCGGTCGTCCCCGCAAGGCCTGCCATGCCCACAACAACAGCAACGGCAGCAACAAGGGCCCGTCCACCGTATCGATAGCCGCCGCGCTAGCTGCCCAGCAACCGGGCCCACTGCCAAATTTCTTTTCCTTCGAACAGGGTTCCGAGAGCGCACAAGGACGGTACCAGAATGAGTCAACACCTTTGCTTGGGAGGTTTCGGGCCATGCCTGGGGGCTGGGAGGAGGCGGGAGTCGGACGATCAGACGGGACTGTTGTCGGCTGGGTGGAGGGGGAGTGTGCACGTGGGCTATGGCGCCTTGATGGCCGCTGCGACGGCGGAAGATGGGGAATACCACAACGACAGCAGCGAGGATGAAGACGACAGCGAGGGTGATGGGATATCGGACTACGGGTTCTTCGGCGCGGGCGCGCTATACGGAACGACATTAACGAGGAGGGTCATGATCAAGAAGCTGAACAGGGCTCGCAGGAGGTTTTATCACACCTGGGTACACCCGAAGGCCTCTGAGATCAGGAGAGTGGTAGAGCATTGGTGGAGCCGATGGTTTGTCCTAGTAGTATTACCGGCCGTTCTGGTACGTTCGGAGAGTACAAATCGCTCCGGGATCAGGTTTGGCGAAGTGCTGACAAACGACATATAGGCCGTTGCGTGGTGCGCTATACCATTTCCCCAATACCCAATACCGGACGTCGACGACGATGACGATCGCGATCCGACAACACCACCATTAGTACCGGGCGAACAGCCAGGGCGCAAAACTCCTGGCCACGGAGCGGCGCGGGTGCAGGTCAACTTCTGGTTCTTCCTCTTCGTCTACTACAGTTTTTACAACCTGACGGCCCTAATATGGATCACCAAGGTCTTCAACCTGTACAGTCTCAACTGGTGGCCCCAGTCTCTTGGGTTCCCCCTAACCGTCTTCACGATTGGAGTCATATCACTAGTGGCACCTATACCGCTCTACCTGATTCCCGAACTGCGGTGGCTGATTGTCCACAACACAGCATGGATTAGCTGGACCTTCGTCATCATGGCCATGCCTGTCACTATCGCTTTCTGCATCCTTATGACCAATGAGCGTCACCTCAAGCTACGTCATTCTCTTTCCGAAACCCAGCGCATCTTCACATCATCGTGGTGGGCCGGCGAGTCCGGAAATAACAGCCGCCGTGAATCGACGCGGCGGGCCGGACTGATAGGTGCATTTGATACCGGGGGCGCAGAGCTTGGGTTTGAGGAGGGCCTCAACCGGCGTCCTTCTGTGCCCGTTAGCATAAGGCGCAGGTGGCTCCCGGCGAGCTTTGTCCGCTTCGTGTGGTTCTGCCTGGCCCTATCAATCGGCCTTCTTGCCTATGTGATAGGAGAGGCGTATGCCGAGATTTACCTGCGTACGCTCCCGCATAACAACTTGGAGACTATCGTCTATGTCTATGGATGGGTGTCGACGGTGTATCTTCTCGACGGGCTGACAGGCTGGATTTTGGGTGGCAACGAAGGCGAGAGAGTTGGAAGCTATCCGTTAAGCTTCATCTTTAAGCTGTCAGTAGTCGTCTCCTATTCCTGATTTTAGGCTAACCCTCGCTGACCTCCCAACTCTTCACACAGCTACTTCATGCTAACTTACCAAACCTACGTCCGCGCCCTATACGCCCGCCTCCGCTCTCCACAACAATTCGTGATGCTTCAAGTCCTCTCCTCCACCACCTTGATCATCGTCACACCCATCCTCATGTCGCGCCCCGTCCATTGGTTCATGACCATCACAAACCTCAACGGACAATCCTACGGCTCCTACCAAAAAATCTGTATCCGAAACGTCTTCATCCGCTTCGTCGCCGAGAACGCGTCCATGCTCGCCTTTTTGGGAAGCGTCGTCATTCTGCACTTCGGCCCGAACAAGGACGTGTACCCCTACTTCGCTTTCGACGGCGAGCCGGATGACACCTCGGACTTCGACTTCGATCTAACATTCTATGCCTCCAGTATAACGTGGGCGTGTGAGCTGGCGGCTGGATTCATCGTTTCCGGGCTGATTCGGCTCATCTATGGCGTTAATGTTGTGACGGAGGGAAAGCTTGATTTTGCGGTGTGGCCCGAGTTGCTGCCGACGAGTGTGGCGGTGGTGTTGCATGTGCTGCAAAATATGCTGTTTTCCATTGCTCGGTTGCAGTTTCACTAAGCTCGCCGTTTGTTGTTCAATTGGTCAAATGGTTTGATACCCCTTGAAGGATGTTAGGAACGATAAGGACGGGAGCGGACGACGCGAATATTGTCGAACTTGGTGGGCCTGGGAAAGTTATCGGGCTGGGATGGCATCAGTCGCGCAAGTTTGTGTGTGCTGGAGTACTGGTTCGGTCGGTAACACGACGCCGTCTAAGCGATTGTTACTGCGAAGAGTCAACAGGGGAAAGAAAACGAAGGACATAGAAGAGATGGGCAAGCGGATGGGGGGCCATGACGCGGATGTGGGGAGCTATTCATCAAGAAGCTTTCGGATACCGCTTTTCACATCCTACACCAGCCATCTCCCACACATTTCGTGCGCACCCACAGCACAGCACAACCACCTCACTCTGCGAGCACAAAAGAAACAAACAAGATGTTGTGTTTTGACGGATAACAGAAGTGACGAGAAGAGAGAGAGCGGTGGGGTTCGTCATACGACGTCCTTTTTAGCGAAGAGTGGTGTGGGATACGCGCGGGATTTATATTAATCGGTATAGATGCGGTTTGATTGCGTGCTGCGGCCGTGGTCATCACTGTCACAGTCACAGTATCCGCTGGGTTCATCGCGGAAAGGGGGCCTATGCCCTGGCCCAGGCCCAGGACCGTTCCGAGCGGCCATGGAGATGGTGGTCACACCACATTCGTGACACAGGCGACCCGAAGCACGTTATATAACAGCCATTGGATACACCACACACACACGAAACGCAACGAAACCAGAACGCACGACACGACATGACGATACAAGTAACCTCGTCACAAGAAGTATGAATGAAAGACACAAATGATTTTCACGAAAGACGTCCACCCACAACGCCGCCACGATAGCAATTTTCAAACGGAAAAGTAGTCGTCATTTTTTTCGCGGCGCAAAGAACTACAAAACAAAAAAGCACACACTCGCAAGATGGACATCTACACGACCGCTTTGAGCTGTACAATACCCGCGATGCTCCTTTCTGGTCAACCCATGTTTCCAGCTAGAAAGTTAAGAGTTAGAGACAGAATCAAGAGATACCACTGTAGAGTGAAATAGAGAGGAGGAAAAGGGGGGGCATTGAATAACCCCTCCCCTGATTAGAGCAGATCATATAGCATTTTTTGTTTCCATACCATTCACACAAGTTATTGGTTCCATACAACAACTTCCTGATTAAGCAACATACTCTCCCCGGCGTGTCCGTAGTCAGATGTGATAAACTGTTCAGGGTACTTGTTCCGGGATGTAGTGGGCAAGAATGGTGATATGCGGTAAGGTAAGGTGTGTGGTATGTAGGTGTGCATGCCATTCATTATGCTAGTTAGGGATACGAGAAAATATGTACGTGAGTGAGTGAGTGTAAGTGAGTGGGTGACGTATCAGATTTAAAACCCATTTTCGTCATTTTTTTTTTTTTTTTTTTCAGCATGGCATGCTTGGTTCACTAGAGCGCCTTATTCTAGTGTGTCTGGAAACACAGCTATATTGGACCTAGGCTATGCACGCTCCTTGACATCTCTATATGTTGTAGGGACAGTCTAGAAGTTTCATAATTAGTCATTGTCTGCTTCAATTCAGATTTCTAACAACAAGATTATGAACTAGCTACAGTTTACTGTAGGCAGCTCGAAACAAGGCACAAAGCCAAAGAGGAGAGAGAACCTTGATGGCCAACCTCCACATTGATTTCGAACAGTTTTCTCATCGACGTCGACGTGTTGTCCGTAGGTCCCTATTCTTCAATTTTTTTCTTGATCATGGAATACGTCGAATGAAATCTCTGTGTACCCCATTTCGACAGTTCCGTTTTTTTTTTTTTGTTTTTTTTTTTGGGTTTTTTTTTTCATCATCATTATCATGCATCCCCCTTCCTTTCTTTACCACAAAGAGACGCCTAAAATGAGACCCGACCATGGGGATTCGCATCAGAACTTTGAAGGAAAACTCAAAACACCATTATCCACATATGACCTAGGCGATAAATCGATATCTCGTTCGATCTCCCCATCGATGAGCTAGTATCAATCGCTGACGTACGGTAGTAACTGGATCAGTGACGGGTGGTGAAATACCAATTATGGTAGTTTCTTTCTCGCCTTTTCTTTTTTTCATTTTTTCTCTCTCTAATGTTATTCTTATGTGTTTGTTCATCGTTTCTTTGATCAATATTTTCTTCTTCTTCCGCTTTCGTTTCTTGGATGAATCTATATGACATGATCTACCCGCGAATGAACCCTTCCAGAAAGCCGTCACAGTTACTGAGACCATTCCGGCCAAACAACCTACATATGTGCAAGAATGTTCAAATGCAAAATTGCTTGTTTTGTCCTATAAGGTTCCACGTATCCCGTCGACGTGCAGGAGAAAAGCACACTTTTCCGCGCTGCGATGCAGTGCAATCCATCCCCCCATCAAGCACTAGCAGCATGTGGGGGATGTGCCAATGCCAAGACGATGTTGCAGTATCTAGTGTAATCCGGAGCTAAACAGCGAAGGGTACGCACGCGGAAAGGGAAATAGAGGAGGGGTGGACGAGTGGTGGTGTTATGTTTTATGCATGTGTCTTCATAAACACTTTTGAGATTGCAACCACTATTTTCCTGGACATGCCAGCCACGAAGCTGAAGATGTGTCAGTGGGCTCTTTTGGTGGGTGTTCCTGGTAGGTAGTGGATGTCATCCGGAAGATAGATGGCAGTTAAAACTCACAGCCTCTATCGGCTTGATGATGATACCCAACCAGTGTCAGGGGAGGCAGTGCGAGAATCTTGTACGACTCTCACTGGGTGATTGGAGAGGATGTTGCAATCACCGCATATCTGTTGGTCAGCCAGAGCTAGCTAAGTGCCAGACACAGCTAGGAATGTTAACACGGAACAGCTTCTGGCGGCTGAGGAAGGACAAGCCATGTTTCGCTGTGTATCGGAGCAACAGATATACTAGAGTCTATAGATCACGTACCTCTAGAGGAGGCGAGGATATATTTACTAGTATAGCCGTGGGTTATGAAGGGTGTGCTGGCGGCGTCATGATTTCCCGCCCAGCCTTATGACTGAAGGCCTCTACCCATTCCCCTCGAACTGCAACACCAGAACCCGACATTCGGGCACATGGGTACGGCGTCGCCGGACTGAGCGAGTTTACTAGTGTTCGGTTCCGGAATGGCGGCGTAAGGATAACCATGTCTAGTCATGAAGAATATGGCTCGCTCGGGGGGTCCTAGGGAAGGGGACTTGGTTCGGATGGAAGTGAGTAGAGTTACCTCGGCGTGGATCTCGAAGAGGGACCGCCTCAATTGGGTGACGGCGTGGATCGAAAGGCCATGAGGAGGTGAACGTGTGGCGGTCAGGATGTTTATGCTGGGTCGGGTATCGCTCATCCCGCAGGCTAATCAGGGGTGGCCGGCAGGAGTCCTGGGGTTACCGGCCTTCTAGAAATCTTGGCCCCGCTTAGGTAAAAGAGCGCCAAGCTAGTGTCGAGCAGAAGAATGCCGAGCATGTGTCGCAGATGTTGGCGAGAATTTCCCATCGTCATCTCCCGTGCTCGTTTCTTTTTGCATCGTCCTGCATGAGAAATTGTTGATTATGTTGGCCAATGGAGATAGCACGGTCACTCGAGACTGTGTGGCTACAAATACACCGCGGCTACGGGAGCATTTGTGTGTGGTGTGCTATCAATCAATTCAAATGAGTAAAGAAAAAACCGTCCGGTGGGGGGTTTGAGGATCAGAAGGGGACGAGTTGACAAGTGTGAAGGTAGGTAGGAATGTGAGACTAGACGTCTTGGAGGTTCACACCCCGCAGCCACAACATGACTCTGTCGTCCATAGGATGCCGCACGATATTGAGAAGGTGATGTGATTCATGAATGGAGAAAGAAGGCGTTGCCGTCGTTACAGACCAGTACGGGGAGGGCTCGTTGCCATGCAGCTGCTGTGCTGTACAGGGATGGTACGTGATGCAGTGCATGCCGCGTTTTCAGCCCAAGATTACATATACTTTGCAGTAGCCTACTGTACCACCGTAGTACCTTAGTGTGATTGCGCGGATAATGACGGGAATCTCAAGAGGTGAAAACCCCCCGAATAGCCGCTAATCCTGCTCGAGCGGATGGCTCCCTGCTGCTAGTTGCTCTTCAATTTCCTTGTTTCGTGAGTCGCACTTGACGTGTATTCACTCTTCTTCTTTGATGCATGTTCAGGAAGGAGCGCGGATGGGAATTTGGCTTCCTTGTCAACAACGAAAAGCACGTGCGTACAGCAGTTGAACTTTTTGGTTTTCTTGGCCCGAATATCCGCACCTTTACCCCACCTTTTTCAGCGAGCAAGGTCCCCCAATCGGCCAAAGCCCCTCGCTGGTTACATGGACTCAGGGCAGCCCCTCTCTTCCATCAGTTCTCACGCACGCACCTCATCGACACCCGACTCCATCACAATCCGTTACACCCAGCCTGCCTGTTCCGAGGCCCATTATAGATTTTCTTTTTGGCAGTCTACTCGTCATATTTCGAATCACCTCTTGATTCCATGTGCTGAAAAACGATTTGTTGTTGGCCCGCTATACGCCCGTGATTGGGCGGCACGTCAACACCGGCCGACGTTGATAAGATGATGAACTTCTCCATCAGGGTCCAGAACCTCGACACTGCGCAACACATCCAAGGGGTAAATCCACCTCCAGTATGTCCAATGCCAGGTACGTTCGGCTATCTCTCGCCATGGTTCATCAAGCTGTTACGCTGCCGGTTTTACAACGTCTCGGTGGTATAGCTCCTGTCCGTGATAGCAGTGTCCCTCTATGGCTGATGCCGGTGACCGTTGGGCGACACTGCGATATGTATCAGCCATTCAGACGAACATTGAGGGTCTCACCGACTCCACTCTACGACGGGCCCCGGACGGTGCCGCGGCTCCATTCACCTCTTTCCGGCTACCACCGGACCCGCCCATTTTAGCATCTCTGTTTTTTTTTTCACTGAGGTCGCCGTCGTGCGTGTTTGCGATTTGCGCCCGCTTGTTCTCCTGGTCGATAATTGGATCCCCTTCGCTTCCCCGCCGTGTCCCTTTTTTTTTCTCTCTCTCTCTTTTCCCTTCTTTACACCGCTCGCCATTCTTGTGAATCTTGTACGTACTTTGAACGTACAGTCCGCTCACAGCAGTTCCGAGTCCCCTAGGTAGGTCCAGACTATCCCGTCCATTCTATTCACACCCACAGCAGCACGCATACCCAGCACGCATCGGCACCCACCAAGAGGAACACCCCTCGTCTCGTCCCCGGCTCGCGTCTGCAGCCCGCCCTATCATTTATCACTCCTTACATACACCCTTGAGCTTCACCCCCCCCCAACACTTCGGTCCTTTCCCGCGGCCGGAATCTAGGTGGCCTGTCACCGCAGCGGCGCAGGCTGCCATTAGGAGAAGTCATTGTCTGACACCAACCGAACGCTTAGGTTGCTTTAGCCAGCCCTCCTTTATATCCCACATAGATAGGCGCGAGCCGTCCAGAACCTCTTTCCCCTCTTTTCTCTCTTCTCTCTCTCATCATGAGCGCCAACGCCGAATCTGCCCCCCAAGTGGCAGACCTTGTTACCTCGACCCAGGACAACACCGCCAACACGCAATCCACCGTCAGCCAAGATGCCGCGGGACGCGAGTCCTCCTCCTCCCCCGCCGCCGCCGCCGAACTCGCCAGTACAAAGGTAAAGCTGATGGCCGCCTTGAGGTCGTTCCCCGACTTCCCCATCCCCGGCATCAACTTTATCGATATCCTCCCCCTCTTCCAGGACGTCAAGACCCACGAGGCTCTCCTCGTCGCTCTCCAGCTCCAGATCGAACTCTCCCACCAGAAGCCCGACGTCATTGTCGGTCTCGATGCCCGCGGCTTCCTTTTCGGCCCCTCTCTTGCCTTGAGAATGGGCGCTAGCTTCGTCCCCGTCCGCAAGCAGGGCAAGATGCCCGGTCCCTGCGTCACTGCCGCCTACGAGAAGGAGTACGGCACCGACTTCTTCCAGATGCAGGATGGCGCCATCAAGCCCGGCCAGAAGGTTCTTATCGTTGACGATATCATTGCTACTGGTAAGCATAATGCGCCCACTTTTTCTTTCTTGGCAATCGCTTCGTGACGTCCCATTTTTTTGCTCTTTCACCCCAAATCCCATCTCAGCGATACGCTGGATTCTGGCCTCGCCCCATTGGCAACCTTGCAGTTCAATTTGGCTCACATCAGTTTTTACAGGTGGCTCTGCTGCTGCCGCTGGCGAGCTCGTCAAGAAGCTCGGTGGTGAGACGATCGGTTATCTCTTCATCCTTGAGATTGCTTTCCTCAAGGGTCGTGAGAAGCTCGGCGGTGTTCCCGTCACCACTCTTCTCGAGACCGATGAGTAGACTCAAAAAACCATGTCGGATTCATCACGACTTGCATTTACGTCCAGAATTTACGCTACCGTTATACCCAATGTCTTATATCGCCGGCCTTATACATCAGGCAAACATCGGCCGCTCAGGATCTACGACTCCCTTTGCAATTCTCGCTATGGATATACGCCCTTTCGACACACGATTTGGATCCAAACGGGGAAGAAGCCAGAACGTCATGGACCCGACGGTCGCGATTCGAACAACAACGGAACACTGGGGCGTCGGCAAATCAACGGAGAGATACGGTTGAGTTCTGCTCTCAGATGCCAGTCAAACAAAAAGTTGGGACACGAAGGATTGGGGACTTTGGTTCTGCATTTACCTGGCGTTCGGGTGCGTTACAAAAAGTGGGGTTCAATGGAAGGTATCAATGGTTAAAAGCCAACCTTCGGCCGTGAGAGAGGAGGATGCCATTGAGTAAAACCATTTGTCTGTTTTTTTTTTTTTTTTTTTGGATGCATGATAGACCGTTAACTTCACGTCGAGAAAGTGAGGGTGAAACTATTGCAGCATTGCAAAGATCATCTGCCATTGCCTAGGCCCTTTCGTTCGCTACGAAGCATGGCCGTCTTGCTACTTGTTTCTGTGCTACATACCCGAATGTCTGAAACACGCAAAGCTCATCGCAACATTCTCACTGTGACATGTCTACAGGGAGCGAATGCAGGAACACCGCAACATGGACGCTGAGCAGTTACAGCACTACAACAGCGGGTTTTTTTTCTTTCTTTTTTTTTCTTTTTGCTCCTCTTTTGTGAGGCTATGACTGCGGTATCGCCATTTACGACGACTTTGTGCGGTGACAGCTCTAATCGCCCTCAACAAACCCAACGATTGCCAAAATCTTTTTTGAGACACCAATCGCTCGTCGTCATAGCAACACTTGGGATCATCCGATTGGTTAATTCCGATTATCAACAAAATGTCGAAGTGGCTATCAATCCCCAACTGCAGGTCATCGGCGTTGCAAGAAACAGCACAGAGATACCATGTTTTTCTACCGCATTGGCAATTAATTGATGCCGTGCAGCTGTGCCCAACAACTAACTGCCTCTAGGCAGGACGGAGCGTGAGTCGAACGGCTATCGCCAAACACTACAAGTCCACCACGACTACTAACTTTCCCCAAGAAAAAAGGAAGGGGTTTCCAGGTCCAGACTGCAGAACCATTCATGTACATAGAAGTGCAAAGTGTACCTGCATCCGTCCTCCCGATCCCATTGGAGCTGGAGGGCGTCGTACGCATTAAGTACGCACAAGGGGCGTGTGCATACTGTGTGATTGTATGCCTGCCATGTGTCGCTTGTATACACCCTGCTTTTCATCCGTACTCCGTTCGAGGTTTCATATATATATCCACTAGTCCGATGCTGGTCCCCGGGTCGACCAAAGCACCTATAACCTATAAGCTCAAGACAAGGTCAAAATAAGATGAAAGCAAAGGGGCGGGATGAAGGTTGTGCACGTGGGCAGGTGAGAACGCTGGTCCAATGTATGCATGGGTGATGATGCTCTTTGTGCGATCATCTGCGCTTGCATCTGTACTAGGTGTATCCGCCTCTTTGGACCACCCGAGACGCGCGGTGATAATGTGTAAACCGTAGTGTCTAGACACACAAAAAAAAAAAAAAAAAAAAAAAAAAAAAAAAAAGTCCCTGCTGGAGGTCTGCGGGAGAGGGAGTATACCTTCATATGAAAGGGTTTGTGGGTTTGGTCTGGTTATGACGGGTCCTCCGCATGTCAAAGGAGAAGAAAAGTAACAAAAAGACATGGGAAGTGAGATCGTAGACGAGGCATCGTGATAAAATGTTTTCTTGGCTCATGATATCGGCCAAAACTACACACAAGTCATGCTGATTGGAAAGCACTGATTGAAATTGAAGCAATTGTTGTCAAAGTAGGTCGACTCAATGCCTTATGTACAGGAAACATGCCACCGCATGGGAAAGTTATAGCCAAAAAAAAAAAAAAAAAAAGAAAGAAAAAAAGGAGGAAAATAAGAATAACCATACGAAATGCTGTAATAGTCTATATACTCGCCCTTCTATCAAAACCACCCCATTTTCAACATGCTCTGCTACAACGCTGTATTTGCAAACAATCTGCCTCGCCAAGTAATCATCAATCGCTTCAGCTAGCTTGCTATAAATCCCAACTCAACCCAAACCCAATGCTCCCCTTTTCTCTCTCTCTCTCTCTCTCTCTCTCTCTCTCTCTCTCTCTCTCTCTCTCTCTCTCTCTCTCTCTTTCTCTCTCTCTTTCTCTCTTTTTTAAAAAAAAATCAGGCAACCCCCCCAGCATCCCCCTCATCCACAATCACATTCCTCACTCTCCTCCCCTGACTTTCCAAAAACCACCTCCTCCCCACCGCCACGCCCTTGGCCCTTTTGAGCGTTTCATACGTCATCTCTCCACCCCCGACCATGATCATCGGAATCGGATTCCTTCTCACCAGTCCGCCAGGAGTCTTTTGTACCTGATCCAACAAGGGCCTAGCTAACCCCCCTCCTCCAACTCCTTGGCTGCTGCTGTAGGTTTGACCAGAGTAGTAAGCAGCGTATGAAGCATCTTCGTCTTGGCCGTCGGAAACGACAATTACGAGTTGGAGCGAGGTGGGAGAGGGAGGGAAGGCGGGAATGTTGGCTAGTTTCTCGGAAAAGGAACAGCCGCCGCGGCGGAGGAGGAGAATCTGGTGGGTGCGCGGGATGGAGTCGTCTAGTGGTGGAGGCGGAGGAGTCTGGTCCTTTTCAGAAGAAGGCTCGGAAGAACCGGACGAGGACGAGGTACAAAGCTGGCCGGCGGCATAGATGGTGGTGTAGGGTATCATGTCGCGGGGGACGGGGCCGAAGGGCGGGTAGGGTCTCGGATGAGCAAGGTTGTTTCCGCTGGAGATGTATGGAGACGAGGGGCGAGGGGGAGGAGGAGGGAGAGGGGCGGCACCGATGCCCGTGGCGGTTACGGCGGTGGAGTTTATGAAGACGTTGAGAGGGTATTTAATGCGTTTGGCGCTGCCGCCATGGATGGATGAGATGGAGGGGATGGAGGGGAGGATGGAGGGGAGAGCGGTGACGGCTGCTTCGAGGGGGATGCCGTCGAGCAGGTCGTCGAGGGAGGCGGCGAGGTTGGCGAGGAGGGATTTGACATAGGAGCCGAGAGAGGAGGAGGCGGGGTCTTCCGAGGTGGTGTTGGCTGTTTCTGTCTGTTGTTCTTCGATCTCCTTCTCCTGCTCCTCTTGGGAAACCTCAGGATTAGTCTTGACGCTTTCGGGGTGAAGCTGCCCCTTGGCCTTATCCTTGTGGGTCTCGTCCTGGCCTAGGTCCACATGATGTAGATGCACGAGCTTGACGTTGACGGGGTCGCGAACGAGGTTGAACCGCGGGTCGGACACCTCGCCTAGGATGGCTCGGTTCATAACGATGAACTCATCCCGACCAAGTAGAACGCCATTCACCTTGCTGACACGCCATTCACCGTCCGAGTCCTCCTCCTGCCGCATGGTCAGCCTCAAGCCGGAAAGGGTTTGAACGCGGATTCGATCCATCGTGAGGCGCTCGAGGTTCTGCGTGCCCATCAGGTAGTTGAAGGCGCTGCCGCCAATGAGTTCTTGCGCGTTGGAGGAGAACTCGAGCAGCATCTCGACCGGCTGGTTGATTTTGCGGCACGTTCCGTTTTGGGGAACCATTTCTGGTGGAAGAGACCAGGGGAAAGGCGTGAACTGGTCCGATTCGGTTATAGGCTTCCTAGAAGAGGTATGTTGGCCGGAGGGCTTACTACCCTCTGCCGGAAGTCCTAAAAAGTTCTTTGGCTGCAACAAGTGTAGGTCCAACATCTTTGCAGCGTGATAGATGTCATCTCTGGCAGCGATGGCTGAGCCTGTGAGGGGAGTGGCAGAAGGCGGTGCCGGGCAAGTGTTGGTAAAGCCAGGGTCGTGATACACTATCAATTCCTTTTGACCAGATGCTCGTGATCGGGTACTTGGCTTTGCCTTTGGCAAAACTAGCGGATGACCTTCTGTGGTAAACACAAAACCGGCATCAAGGTGGTTGAGAGGATGCGACTCATCAAACAGCAGATACAGGTACTGCGTGGTTTCGCCGAGGAAAAAGCTCTCCATACGATCGCTCCTCTCGCCGGTCAAGACATTTTGAAGGCCTGCCCAGCCACACTGCGTAGTACATCGTCTCTGAATGTCTCTCATGACCATTTCGCCAACGTAAAGATACCAGGGGTCCTTGGTGGCTTGATATATGTAGTAGGTCGACTCGATAAACTCGGGTCGCAACGGCCACCAGCCTAGACCACCCTCAATATCCTTGTGTGTGATAGACCAACGTTCAGGAAGCGCGGCATAGCGCGCCCATATGGCAGTGTACAACAAGCTCGTTTCAATGGCTTCTTCAAGCTCACCAGCCAGGACGAGCAGACCGGCGTAGAAGGCACCTAGGCTGTCTACCCAGTTAGTAGCCAGCGAGCCTGTCCATAGGTTGACGTTTTCATAATGCGGATGATCTTTATCGCTATAGAGATGGCGCTTGATAGCAGCATGGGCATGATGCCACGCCTGAAGAAACGCATCAGGGGAGTTCTCAACCTCAGTAAGTGGAACAAAGAGAGTATTGGGGTCCAGCCAGTTGTCCTTGGGTTTTGGCTCAACGGCTGTCCGGTTTGGGAGCTCATGCCCAGAAAGCAAGATGTACGATTTGAGGGCGTACTCGAAAAAGCTGTCGGCGCCAGCACCAACGACGGAATAAGGGCCTACCCAATGGCCTTGTTCAGCATCGACGCCTGCGCCGAGGAGGCCTATGTGGCTCTTCCTATACCAAACTGCCCAAAAGGCTCGCTTGGCCAGCTGTTCAAACCGCGGATCACCTGTCAAGCGACTGAGAACCGTGAATTCAAGAACTAGGGACCCAGCGCCAGCACTGCATGTCTCGGTAATCTCAGGAGGCCCATCAACTATGTGGTCCCCGGAAGCCGTCCCATGCAAGGGCGAGTTCTTGTAAAAGGGGATACCATGGCGCAGATTGACACGTGGATAGGGCATCCCCGTCTTCGTGTAAAAGGCCGGGAGAATTCTGGTCCCAAGATCAAGCGCCAAACGGAGCAGCTGACCATCGTAGGTCAAGCCATTCGGCCAGTGGATAGGCGGAGGGCTAAGTGGATCATGTTCAGGACCAAGCGGTTCATATCCATTAATCGGTAGTGCGCCAACAGCAAACAAATGGGCACTGAGAAGACCGCCAACACCACGGATGACCGTTTCAAAAACCTGCACCTTGCTGTCGATATCGAAGCCTCTAGCGCGCAGGCCTTGGCCAGAAGGACCGGGACGGCCGTCGCCATACTGCTCGACCAAGGCGGCAACACCATCCTGGAAGTCACGCAAGGCTTTCGGTCCCGTCCCACGGTCATCTGGCGGCGCCGAAGCAAAGATGGCCAAGGTAGACAGACTGTCTATCAAAGTAAGGGAGTAGTTACCCAAGACATCGTTCACTTCGACGTTTCCTGGGTTCTCAGCATCCCGGGTTAGAGGGGCGCAAGTGACGGGCCGGAGCTAACAAGGCTGAGTCAGCTTGGTGATTCTAGAGCAGGTGGCCTTTGGAGACGATGTAGTGAGACCCTGATAGTGACGGAGTGATGGTGGGCCATACCTCGTCCTCGGGAAAGGCGATGCGCATGTAGTTGCCGAAGCCGTGGTAGAACATGTCGACGACCTCGCGGCGGAGCTCAGCCACGCGACTGGGGCGCATTGCCCCAGCACTGGGCAACAGGACCACAAACGCCAACAAAGCCAGAGCAAGAAGCCATGGTGATGATCGGGGCCGGAGTCGGGGCCGCAGTGGTTCCCGTGTCATGTTACTATGCGGCCGGAGTCCGGAAGTGTGGCTGTGAACTTGACAAGCTGTCAGAGTTGGACCCCTTCACTTGCGGACGGTGATGGCTCCCAGACCCAGCAGATCACCTAGGCGGGTGGCTGAGGAACGCAACTGAAGACTGCATAGGTAGTATCCAATACGGTGCCCCGTGTGGAAGCGATGGGTGATGGGGCTCGATGAGCGTGATATGACCGTGGTGGTTTGGTAGTGAAACTATGCCGGGAATCACTTGTAAGGTGAAAGATGCCACTTAACCAATGCTGCAAGGTGTAATCAAGGTGTCACGGTGTAACTGTGGCTGATGCGTTTGCGTGTATCGACGTTACATTACACTCATAACGCGGCCCGTGACAGGTGTCAAGGACGACACATGTATTCAGGGCCCACCTATCAGCACTTGCTTACTCCACCAACTCCGGTCCGGCGCGGCCGTCAAACCGACGTCCTTATCCCGTCCTGCCGACCGATCATGTCTCAACACTCACACTTTTTCAATCAAAAAGTAGTTCCAGTACTACGTATGGACTCTACGAATGACCATGGCTGACCGACCGACTACGAAGAACTGAACTGAATGATCATAATTACACACACGGACCATATCTCCTGTTTTCGATCCTCACTTCTTGAACCAAAGAAATCCCCGAGTACTGGACGGTACACCCGCCCTTGTTGCTGCCTCCGTCGCCCACCACGCGCAATGCGGATACTAATCATCATCGAACCACCCATCCTATCCCCGTTTCCATCCAGCCATCCAATTCACTGATCGTATGAGCTGGCCGGCCCGGTTTACGATTTGTCCCAGCCGCTGTGTGGCACAGCTAACCCGGCGAGCGTCACCTGTCATTGAATTGAGCTGGCTTATCGGTGATGACTTGGCGTGATTTTGACTCGTATGTCGATTGATATCATGTGTTTGTAAGGTCCGTCGTCGATGTCACTCTCGGTGCAATGTAATATCAGCCTTTGTCGAAGCCCAGGATCCTTCCCTCACGATTGCAACCTTGGTCCAACCATTGACAAGCAGTATGCCACCTGTTGAGTGCGGTCACAAAGACCGATCATTCCTTCCGCTAGAGTCCGACCGGCCAGTACAGGTTTGGCCAAACTATAAGGTTACAGAACCATTAGAATCCAATAATACGCCGCTGACCACCACAACCTGTGGTTTGCAGGAGAGGCCAGAGGTCAACATGTACCGGCACAGATCCTTGAGTCTTCATTACCGTCTATCTACCTCTATATAAGGTACCGAGAGGTGAGGATGGGCAACACATGTCCGCAATGGCCTGTACTACGCTCTATTTACAGTACCAACGCAGTAGGTTCTGTCGAATGAGCAGCCTAAAACCCATCGAGTCGATGCCATTGGTGCAGTGCCTGAAGGAACTTGCTGCTCTTTACATCCATGGGTCCAAACCAAGTATCGCTCTGTACTTCCCTTGCCATAGAGTGCATAGAACCAATGGACTTGTGGACGTTGTTCCCCTGGGCCAGCTTGACGAACAACGAAGATTAGGTAGCTACCTAGAGGTAGATACAGCCATCCATCGGCGTTTCAGTGGCTCAGTAAAATCAAAGGGCAGATGAGAGCTGCTCAACAGCTTTGCTTCTACATATCCATTAGGACGGATATCGGCATTCAACGAACGAGCTGCCCCCCCAACCCATGTGGCAACGTGGCACCAGGCAGTTCTCTGGAAAGTTGTATGTCTAGCTCAAGGGTAGCTGCAAGGCCCTTGGACTCCGCCTATGGGAAGAAAGATACCACCCTTTTGCGCAACTACACGCATGGAACATTACTGGATATACGAGCCGAGGCCGAGAGGGACCTTATACCCACCCATCCGCCTGGCTGCGGTTAATATAGAGGTATTCTGCTATGTTCCCTCCGGGTTGGTGTGGATGGCTATACCGGAATGCGAATATGAAACTGTGTGTGGGTGTCTTGCAGTTGGGCACGTAGAGGACTAACAAGCTTTATCCCACCCACTTCCGTACCGTCACGATCGGCCCCATGGACCAGGTTGTCCCGTACGGCCCGCCGCCATGGCTCTAGAACCCCGTGGGATCTATCACCCCCCGCCAGTGACTTTCAGTGTTTGATCGCAAAAACACTGGAAGGAAAAACACCAAATCACTCCCAAGAAACGAGAGCAAAGTCTTCATAGATACACTCAACCTTAACATCCTGCGAGGTTCTTTTCTACTTTTCTATCCCAGACCAGTTTACTCGCCACTATGGCCCCAGCAACTTTGGGGGCCAAAACCCGAACGTACCTCTGCCGATATGGTCAAAAGCACGGTCAATATCAACCAGTTCTTTGAGATGCAGCATCCCCTCCCTCAGATGCAGCAACGCATATCAGGGGTCCAGATGGATGCATGTTCCCACCTAACCACTGCATTATACCTTCAGTGACATCACATATGTAGGTATTGGTGAGCGAGTCACAGGACGCAAAAGAATGCAGAAGGGCATGAAGCACTAAAAGTCACCGCCATCTCATCATGAAGTAGGTGGTATTGCTGAGCCCCGGGTCCCATGAATCTTGTTTCCATTATTTAAGATCAGCCGTTTGTGGTTGTTGGAAAAATTGCGGTCACGGTTCGATATTTGACTGCCTGGCACTACAGTACGAGACGGGACATTAATCTATAACCCTCACCGAGGATGTCGAGACGATTGATTCCTTATCCAGTGCTGTCGCAGTCACCATCGACGACTCATCAGTACGTAACTCCACCCATCCTGTGGTTCGTCCTGCTGAGTTGCGGCGCACAAGCTAGGCATGGAATTTAAAATCACCCCCCTGTTCGACCATCAAAACAACCCCCCGGCCTTGACAGGCCAGTGGGGTACATAAAAGACAAGCCAAGAGCCGAGAATTGGAAGTTGTCGATCGAGACACAGACACAGCCCAGAAGATCGGGGCGGGCCTCACATCCACAGTGTTTCTAGGCCTCTAGTAGGCGCTAGGCGTGCACAACCGGGGAATGGGAATGTCACACAGACGGCCGCAGGATCGTGGGGGACTCCATCTTTGACAGATGGTTCAAAGGAACTAAGAAAGGAGGCAATAGGCGAACCCTAAGACCGACTGCGATGGCAGATGCAGATTTGATCCCACATTCCGGATTTGTCAATATCAACAACCTCAGCTGTCTTGATCAGATCAGACGGACATCAACTCTACAACGTGGATAACACTCACTGTTGGTTCAAAGCCATTAGCAAGTCTTCGCAATGGAAATTGCCATACTTTGATAATCTATATAAAAAGCAGAGTATGTGGAATCCAGAGCAACGAAACATAAAAAAGTGTTCTTGACCCGTTGAGGTTAGGTAGACTTGCGAAAACCATAATTTAAGGTGTTCAATGCTTCCTTCCCCTTGGGAACTCATTACGATACCCCCTTACGCCAGGAAGGATCGGAAGCTAGTACCTACCTAGGTTTACTGGAATAAACAACCGGAAGAGAGTCACAGGACCTAACATCCTCTCTGGAAGCAGGAAAGGGAAATTAGAAGAAGGTTGACTAGCGTGGATGTACCTCTGGCCAAGTACTAACATCTTATGGTCCACCGGCCGGTGTCCACTTGGGTTGATCTTGGTATCATCTCCTGCTATTTTCTTTTTTTTCTCATTCGTGATTTTTCTATAAATGTTTTTTTTAATTTTTTTTTTTTTTTTCACGATATTTACCTCCCAGGGCATTATCTTTCAGAGTTGAATCTAGTCCGCTGTGTACAGTCCAAGCAATCCAAGGTACCTATCTCCAGTTTACAGGTACTCACCCCTCATCGTAGAGGTACATACCGACCCTTCAAGTTCAAGTCCACTGCAGTCTGCATCACTAGAGGTAGGTAGGCATCCGCCGGTATTTCACCACATAAGTTGGACCTGACATCGACAGCTCCATCAAATCTCTAGCGCAAATCTCGCGTTACACAATGGTAGGTAGGTAAACTACGGCACGCTAGGTCCTAATTACCTAGCTAGCTATGCAGCGTAGCGTAGCGCATCTGTCAAGCTTCGTGTAACGTTGAATCGCCCAGCTGCTCGGATTGGATGCCTGTCCCCCTCTCAGGCTGTACCTGGCTGCCTGGGTAGGCATCCCGGCGACCTCGACTGATGCACGCCGCAGGCACCCCGAGGTGCATCAGAGCTCGACGCTGTCAACTGCCTGGCAGCAGTGGAAGTATGGTAGTGGATTTTGACAAGACGATGTTGCCATCATTCACTGATGACTTTTCGCTTGCCGAACGAGTCGTATTCGTTGTTACTAGGTATTGAGACGATGTGGTGGTGTGTTGCCCTGACTACGTCTAGAGGTACCTTATGCAGTCAGTGGTCGAGATTTTGGCGATTGTTCCCGTTTAGGAAATGGGAGAGGGATTGGCGGGTTGTGATTGGTTGACGTTGAAGCCTCGGGTTTGTGTTGAACCTTGGGGGTTCGTCTGAAAAGATCAACGCTTGAACTTCGTTGATGGAGAACGGATCTGAAACACCAACACAGCTAGATGACAGAAACGAGATATACTAGGTACTACAATGCGTAAGGGGTACGACGATTCTTAATAAACGACATGAGGGTTCTGGCGGGGAACTATATCGCGCTACCGAGGTCTCACAGCTGATTTTATTCGAGATCTTCCTTTCTGACTGCACTGTATCTTAAGCATCGAGGGACTTGATATCTCCGCAAGCCCCAAAACAGTTTTTGACCAGCTGGAGGTCTACCAGGAATGTGGTATATATTGGAAAAAAAAAAAAGCCGTTAAACACGTGGCATATCCAGTCTTGCCTTTCCCCAGCAAACATTTTCTAATCGCCATCAAATCGGGCATCGTTTCAAGCCAGCCACTTTGTTTGTTTGCTTGCGAGCCGCTCGGGGGCTGCAGATCTAGATGCAGCACAATGCCTTCACCTGATCTCGCCCTCCCTATTCACTGTTACCTATCGACCTAGCTGCTTACCGGCTCCCTAGATCGAGGGATGGTGATTGCCGTCAGCTAGTTCACATCAATGATAGTTTTTACACTTTACTGCCACTTTTCGCCCAAGGTACCTAGTTTGTAGGGTGCAAACATATGCTGAACTTCCACTTTCCGTACCTGTGTTTTTTTCCCCTCCGTCTTGTAGTCTATTTTTGTCTTGGTGTCCCTTGCTGCTTCACTTAGATCATAGTTGGCCCATCTGAGTTTGCCAAGGTCTTATGGGGTGTACTATACGTGGCAGGAGCCATCATTCACGCCCTATGTAGTGTCCCGGAAGCTTTCATCAGGGTCCATTATTGCAGTTTTCGGAGGCATCGTTGGGCATGGGCATGGAATGGTACCGTGATGTGATGAAAAAGATCGGTGTCGACCCCGAACCCCGACCTCCGTCCCGTTTCCAGCAGGCCCTGCACTTGTAAGCCCGCTAACGGAAAACCCCGCGCCATGTCCGTTGAGAAGGGCCCCGGAGAAATCCGCTCGTGGAGTTAGCCCCGGGGATGACCCATTTCTCACTAGTAAACAAGGCGGCCTAGGCGGGGCACTAATCTAGGTACGTATGGAATATCCCGCGTCCGGTTGTGTAACCCTGAGCAACAACATTAAAGAGACACAATCATTTGGGTTTTAAAACTTTTGCGGTCGGATCCAGAAACTACCGATCACAGGCGTGAGATTACCTGCAATCCGAGACGTTCTGTGAGCTTCCCGTCGCACGTATTTTTTAACTTTGGTAAAGAAGTGACAAGCGTTCAGGCAACCAGGCAGCTCTATCCGACGGCCGGGCTAGAATAGGATGCCTTCGACCACCACGGGATGTAGACCTTGGTTGTTTTGCATCATAATCTCACCTACTCGCCTCTCTCCAAAACAAAGCTTACTAGCGGAAATCGAACTGCCGGCTTCCACCACAATTTTAGCACTCTCCTTCAGGCGATCGTATGCCATAATAATTTGCTCAAAAAGGCAACCCCACAATCCTTAGGCAGCAAAGTAGTATCCCCTAAACGATGGATCGATGGCGCGGTTCCGACTCGCGTATGTGCTTGGTTACTGCACGAGCTCAGTGGTGTGTAACTTTCCCGTGAATTAGTAATGTATAAGGGGGACCGAAAGTCTGTCGCCAGAGGCGTACTAAGCTGTAAACTGCCTTTCGAGGAAAATCTATCAGAAGCTATTCCGAATGGCTTTGAGCGAGCCTGAAGACTTGCATCCCATGCATCTTGCACGGTGGGTCCTGCTCTCTGCAGGTTCAGTAATAGGGATAGCAATTTGGAAGAGAAGATCCTCTGTGAAAATCCAGTTGAGGAGCAGACCTGACAGAGTGACAAGGTGACAGGGTAGAGGAGTGCCCATCATCCGCCAAGGCTAGAGGTAATCAAGAACAAAGTCCGGTCAGCAGGCTCAGGTGTGCTCAGTCAATGTGAGTAATAGAACGTAAGCACTCGTCGAAACAAAAGAATATAGGAATCAGGGATAGCAAAGAAAGAAAATAGATGGGATAAAAAGGAGAAGAAACAAGATAGAGAGAAAACCAGATTCAATTACAGGATAGTTTTTGCGCGAACATCTCCGATGGTAGACATGACCAATAACCACATCTTCGTCATATTGTTTGTACGCTATCGATTTCAAACTGTAGCGCCCATTTCGCTGGCAAACGCGGGCTACTCTCATCGCTGCCCTTCATCCCTTGAGCTCGGCTCGGGCCCTTCGCAATTGTTCACTTGTTTCTTCTTGCTTCGTGCTCTGCAACCCAGCAGAGCTCGCATCTCGCTGGGTGACCTCAACATGCCAGAATGTGTAACAGAAAGGAGAGTAAGAGCAAGCCACCCAATTAGATGAAACCAAAATCAAGACCGGGCACCCTCTGTTGAAAACCGAAGAAAGCCCCCAACGCCACGTGTGATGGATGTGTGAAGAGCATGCGTAAGGATGAAAACTAAAGGATATTTTTAGGGAGGAACAAGGGAAAATTCGGATGGTCAGAAATGAAAGAAAACCATGTAGGGGTGGCGGGGGAGATGGCCAATAGCCACGGTGATCAATTTGTCACCCGTCGCTGTGCCGCGGTGGAAGCATGCCATTCTCTTCTCGAAGATTCGACCAAGACACCCGATTGCTGCAATTGCTGTAATTACTATTGTTGCCGTCCTTGCAGCAGCTGCTCGCACGCCTGTTGTGCCAACTTCGCGGTAGAGGGTTTTCGGTAAACGTTCAGCGCATCTCTCGTCGGCGGCCGTGAAGTGTGAGCGCTGCTAGTAGCAGCATTGCCCGCTCTCTCATCGCTATCTGCTACGTCTGTGAAAGCAGGACTCGACATCTCGTCTTCAGCAACGTTGTACATCTGGTCAATAGTTTCGTAGAGCTGTTCGGAAGTCAGTTGGGGAAACTTTTCGTCGCTCGTCAACTCGTAGAAAGATTGCCCATGAGAGGGTTGTTGACTGGTCGATATCGTGTTCATCAGGGGTTGCTGCTGGGAATGATTGTCGGGAAAGACATGGCGGAGACCAAGACCAACCGATCCTTCGGACCAGCCAGCTACCATGTTTTGATGCTGAAAATGTGGCGTAGAGTAGGCAGTCCCGCCATGCAATGCCGGGCTTGTATGCTTCCGCTTTTCCAACTTCTTGCGCCGCCGGATTCTTGTCTTTTCTTCTACTTTGGCATCCTCAAGGCCCAACTTGATAAGCATGGCCGAAATATGTTGAGGCTTCCAGTCCCAGACCTTGCATCCGCCCTTCTCCTTCATGTGGGCTATGAGGCGTTGGTATCTCTTCTCTTCGTCTTGAAAGAATGCTTCTTTCAAACGTTGGATCTGAGAGGGTTGTCAGTCAACATTGCTCCCTTCCCAAGATTCCTTACAAGTCGTTCAGAGCTTACCTCTTGTTCGGGCCATACACCAAATTTGGCTACTGCGCGCGATACCTTCATTTGCAGTGCCGCCTTTTCCCAGTTACCCTGATGCTTCTCTGAGTACTTGGCCTTCATTTCTTCCCACATCCCCTTCCCCTTCTCGGAAATATGCTCCTTTCTGAGCTGGAACAAGAACTTATCGTCGTCCGGTGCGTCATCATGGAGGGTAAGCTCCTCCTCAACACCCTTCTCATCTTGATTAGCAGCAGGTCCATCTATGTACCCTGGATGTGGCGACTCCTTTGATATAGATGATGTTTTACCAGGTTTGGAGCTCTTGCTCTTCTCCTGTCGCTTTCGCTTTGATGGAGCAATGGTTGGTGTGTGGGCAGGATATAATGGTAAGAACAGGGCGGGATCGCCGCGCAATTCCTCAAAACCAACAATCTTTGGGGTTGACTGTGGTCTGTACTGGGTAGGATTGGGATGGGTGAGGAGAGGCGCTTGACCGTTGGAGGCCATCCGATGGTGCATTGGAGATCCATGGACAGTCAGGTGAGGTTGTTGCGTTCTATACAGATATTCAGACGAGGCATCTACGTCGACGCTGGGGAAATGATGATATTCCGGAAAAGGGTGGTGCGATACCTCACCATCGTGAGAGGTAGAAACGCTATAGGAACCAAAGTAAAGGTCTGCAGGCCCCTGTGGGAATTCGGCTTTGGGAGACGTTGCATGGTGGGCGTTGGGGGCCATGTATGCCGATGACTGATCGTATTGATGGGCTTCTGTTACTGCTGGAAGACCGGACATTGAAGGAGAACCCTGACTGTTGTAGGGACTGTAATACAATCTTCCTGTGTTTGGAGGCGTCGGTACCTCATTGAGAGGCATTGCAGATTGAGAGGAGTGGTAATGCTCCATCTTTGGGGACGACATTTGGTCTAAAGGGGGGCTCTCAGAGCCAGAGATTGGTGTTAGAAGGGTTGTGTCGACGGTGGCTGGGTAGTTGAATGAAGAAATGCCCGAAACCTGCCCGACCGGTGAGTGAATGTAGCAGTGAAAATGGAACGTTCGAACGTACAGTGAATGGGACCAACTCAGGGGGGGAATAGGCAGCAGTATGTGGGCCGCTCACACAAGCGGCCGTATCGGGGAGAGTTAGGCCGTGGACACGCAGTCGCTTCGGTTGTTGATGTGTGCTCGGCATCAGATACTGGGCGTTGGTCATGTCGAGGTGAAACTGCAAGTGCTCGAAAGGCGTGCAGATACTGGAGGTGGCAATGTAGTGGTCCTCGGAAGCTGGACCTAGACGGTCGTCTTCTAGGCTGTTGGTGGATGCAGAGGACTGGACTTTCTGTCCAACTAGATTCATTTTGGAAAAACTTAGAATTTGTCTTGATAGGAATCCTGGAACAGAATACGGCGGGGCTTCCTGCAAGGTAGATCCACCTTGTGCTGACTTGCTTGCCCAAAAGAGGGAGAGGGGAGGGCAGGAGGTCCTTATAGGGTGATGTTCGGATCCTTGACCTGGCAGTAATGTAAAGGGAGGCGGAGGGAGATGCGAGGTGTGCGGCGAGAAAGGAATCAAACGTACCTTGGACATGAGCTCAAATAAATACAAGCAGCAGACTGAGAACGTCTGAAACGAACAAGTAGAAGGTTGAGACGGCAGATCGTGGGGCAAGGATACGGGTTTTCTAGTACTGGAAGGCGAGCAACTCATATGAGCAAGCCTCCTTCGCTCCTAGAGAGTAGCCCAGGATCAGGATAACGAGCGGCACGTATTGTGGTACTGGCTCGAGGACCATGCGGGGGTATAAAAGTGGATAGGCATGATACATGTCCTCTTGAATGTGCATCAGGCTAGCCGCCGTCGAGGAATAGGTGTGCGGAGTCTTGGGACTGAACAAACCGGTGTTGCTTGCCGGGGTTTGGGGGTGATGGGGGTATGAATCGGGGGGGGACAAAGCCTTGCTGGGTCGGTCTAGAGTCGTTTGCCATGTGGGTCCGATTTCGCAGGCGCATCAACATGTAAGATGATTCCTAGACCCCCCCTTGACGTGGATTCCTCAACGAATCCCTATGTCATCTGGAGCTGGTTTTGACTGCGCAGCAAACGAGAATTGCGTGCTCTTGCTCTTGCTAGCTGGAAGCATTGGCAATCACGCATTGACAAAACCGCTGAGAACTAAGCATATGGCCAGCGTGGATGGGAGAAAGAGTAAGCTGGCTGTTATGCAGGGCTTATACAGAGCGGCCGCTTGGTCGAGGTTGTCAGGATTCAGCGCAAACGGAAAGTGTGTAGGTACAGAACACATTACGGAGTTCTACCAAAACCCCCTTGCACTTTTGGCAAAGCAAATTGGGCTCAGCGGGCCTCCATGGGGAGCTTCTTGAGCTCCACTGTGTAATACCACCATGATACCAGACGGCCTAGCTCGAGGTCGAGCTGGTTGCAGGACCGGGATCACAGTGAACGAAATGCGGTTTCTTGCTGTGTAACTGTGGTGTAAACCGTCAGATTTGGACCCCGTTCACTTCTCTGGGATGGAAGAGGCGTTCGGGACGGCAACGCTCAACATCAGCCAGGGGGGCGCTGCCCCTGGTCATTTGCCAAGAGTACTGGAGTGCCATGTACACTACATTGCCCAAGGGGATAAGCAGGGGGTGACAGGTGATGGAGATAGCACCCAAAGGTCGCTGCTGACAGGGGTGAAGGACTGCAAAATGTACGGCGCAGACCTAACGGTATCGCAGTACAAGTGGTCTTGCTCCATGGTTCCTGGTCATCGGATGGGCGGCGAGGACAAAAAGGTACATTGGGGAACAAGTGATGTCCACGCAAGGTACTCGAGTGTACAGCCCCGTCCCTTCTCATAACTAGACCTCCTCAATGCGCGTCTGTGAAAGGCAGGCCCATCATACTTGGTTGATGTAACCAACTGGCGGCTAATGCCCTCTCTAGGCCTTGACTTGGCCCGATAGACGCCGCTTAAGGCCCATCGCATCACGGATAGTGCAGACAACGAGAAGGAGAAGAACGCAAGATCGGCAGAGAAGAGAAAGAGACGGGCGACCATTCCAGTTCAAAGTAGCCATGTCTACGCCCGACAGGCTACCAACTGGAAGGTAATGCAACCTGCCCGCGCCCGAAGGAAGTTCTTACCTTTGAAGCTGGGTCAATTTGTCGCGATGTGTAGAGTTGAACGTAGCGATCCGAGGGCAAGCTAACGTATCGCTCGAGGCAAATTCAATGAGCCGGTAGTGGCTGACCTGACCAGTTCCAGGTGTATCGCCGAGTCCATAGGTCAGGACAAACAGCCCGAAACCGAATTCTGTGATCTGTGTAATGACATTAACCTTTGGGTTCCAGAACACTTGGATGAAGGTACGCCTCGGTGCAATTTTCTTGACAATCGAGTTGGCCCCCGGTAGTGGTCGAGTCCAGCCAGACTACCCAGCTGGCCGATGCCTGTGGGCTGTGGCTGCTAAAAGTGTTTTACAAGTCGGCAGCTGCTTGTCTCGGCAGATGTTCCAGGCGTTTTTGAGTTTGAGATGCAGAACTAAAGGTATGTAGGTGTGGCTGAGATGAGCGATCGGGCTTGGAGCAATAGCGCCAAGGATCGAATGCGCCCGCGCGGGGGGGGGGGGGGGCGGTAAAGTGGGCTCCGGGGCGGGCCACCTGATGAAAGGAAACGGTTGCGCCGGACCCCGCCGCCGACTTTTGCGGATCCGAACAATGAAGCTATTGAAAACGGGACCCGTAGGGCCGCGGCCCCGTGGTATCAGGGCTGAGCAGCTCTGGTTCGGGTCCCCAGTGCGCGCTGCACCCTGAGGTCTGGCATCATCTTGGGCGGCGTTCATCTGGAGGGGGAGCTGATGGAGCTGCGATGGCGACGTTGCGTACGGCAGTGGCGTGGTTCTTGTTAGTGTTTGCTAGCGATGTCAGCTCAGGGACTAGCTACCAAATATGTATTGGAAAGGCATAACTACCATTGCTGTTCCATCGATATTGTCCAAGAGCTCCTAGCTGCTGCGGGCCCGAACGAAGTGCGATGCCACGGAGAGACGCTGTTTACCTACCTTGACTTTAGGCGAGTGATGTGTCCTTCCGCGGTTTTGTCGGGTTGCAGTCTGGCAAAGTCGGGGGTCGAAAATTCCTGACAAGCGATAGTGCCGAGAAAGGAGTACAACAGCAATCTGCATGGTGATGGTTTCGGTCTTGTTCGCCCAATCAGGGCACTGCTGCTTAAAAGGGAAAATGAGGGCAATTCCAATGTGTTCGCGGGTTGGCGTCCCGCTTCGAAGGCGACTCGGGTTGAAGGCTTAAAAGTATCGACCTAACTGACCTCCGCAAGCCCTGAAGTTGTCGGGCAAATGAAACAGTCTGAGATGAATAAAGATGCGAGAATGGGAGTGCCGGGCGAGCTGCAAGTACTAATAAATGAAGTGGGTTGATGGCAGAATGAGGGAGGTCCCCTCTGCACAAGTCCAGTCGCAGCTTCTGTGGATGATTTGTGGGCATGCGAAAAGTGTGCGGGTAAATTAGCCGTGATGGGCGTAGGGCTTCGGGTGCCTGAATTTACTGTATGACCAAAACAGAAAGCTTCGTTCCGGACGGAATCCTTGTCGTTGATCCGGCGGGGAAGATGTTGCCATTGCCGCAGAAAGTGCCAGTTGCCTGCATCCCCAAAATGCATTACACTACTTGGCATTTTGACAGAGCCCAGCGAGGTCTGCAGACTAAAAGATTACTATGTAACTACTTACTACTTCAGTCTTGTCGCCCATGTCTTTTCCAATAATGTCTCTCGTGACTTTTTCTAATGCATACGAAAGTGCCGAAAGGTTCTTTTCTGCGAGATGCCCGCCTTGCCCGCCACGGCAGTCTAACACTCCTGCCGGTCTTTCCTGTCCGAGGGTGGCGCAGGTGAGCGAAGCCGAGAGATTCCGGCAGCCATTCTAGGTGTCCTTCTTGATCGCACAATTCGGGCAGAAACTCAAATACTTACAGGAGCTCACCTCATTCCTTCCTTGTCGACCAAAGCATGAGAACTGCGGGTGTAACTCTGGTGGAGAAGCTGGGGGCTTAGATGTCCAATCGCTACTCTTGCCGTTCCGTCGGGAACGCTAACACTCTTAGGGCTATGTCTGCCTGTACCAGGCTCACTCTGGTTAGCGTGCCTCTTGGCGACCTGGCGTGACAAGATGGAAGGAACGGCTCGTGTTCACGTCTTGCTTACCCTATGCTGCTCGTGCTGGTCACGGTGCTGTGTCGTGCGCAACCGAAGTGTGTGCAGCCGCAGATCGATGAATCCGTCTTCAACACTTGTTGCGCTGCGAGAATGGAGGACGGGAACAACATCACAGGCGCGACACAACTTCCAACATCATCTTGACCTTCCTTGGAACGCGCTTAGTATCCACATCCATTGGCCGAAAAAGCGACATCATCCACAAGGCTAAGCCAAGGGAGACATTTCCCCGACCAACTCCACGATCAGGCGCGCGGGGAATGGGCAAAGCACGCCATTGGCCCGGGGGAAGAGGGCCGCCATTTGGCGTCTCCAGTGCCAATGCATCGTGTACCGTACAAATCTTCGCGATCCATCCGTCCCGCCCACCATTGGCGTGATGGACACTAGTTTGTCTGCACGAACTGCCTCGGAAGTGCGATTGCAAGGTCATCATTACCCCTCCATCTTTTGAAGCCGGTCTCGATGCTGTCTTGGTCAGTTGACTCCGTCTTCAACTGTTGTCCCTGAGCGAGGACGAGAGTTTATCTGAAGATATTTACAAAAGCTCCTGGGCGACGGCGGTGGATCACTCAGGCTCCCCTTTACCTTGGCATATCCGGCGTTATCTCCAGTAAGCCTGCATCGTTTCCAAAGCAGGCATTTAACCTTACAAACGTCATACAAACGCTGATATCCAAAAGGTTATTTGCCAAGAATCATCGTTGTTAACCCTTCCTCACCACCTCACCTGGCTAACTATGCTCGCTCATTGGTCTCTTCCTGACTCATTCCGGCCCCTATTTGGGGCTGTGCGGGTCCTGCATTAGCTTCAAGTTGTGCCTGTGTCTGATCCCGCTGTCTGGGCTGTGGGTGTGCAATGTCCTGGACTCCCCTGTTCTGCCCGATAGGGTTGAGGATTTACCGAGGTCATCTCGTCTCCCGCTGCACCATTCCTTGTCCTTATATCAACATGTTACCAATCCCTTCTGTGTGACGAGCGCAATACTTGGCTTGTCGGATGAGAAACACCTCTCATGGGCGCAGCAATCGCAGCTCATACATGTGGAGGGCACAGTGCCTCAAGATTCCCAAACCATCACTGCTTTACGAAATCTACCGTTCGGCCCTCAAGGTAATAACTCCTCTTCAACCTTTGGGTTTCTGATACCAAGTTCTTCTTTATCAAGTCCTGTAAGCTTGTTTACCACTTTCGATGTTAAATCGGTGCCATTTGTACAATAGGGTTCCACTGGTCTAGGCCCCCTTTCCTAGCATCTGGACTCACAGAGATGAAGGCTGTCATGATTGCAGCGTCAACCACAGTTCTGCGAGTGCTATCTGCCTTGAGATGGGCTTAGTCCGACCTTGCCGAGGTATTAACACTTCACTGAGTGGTGTCACTCTCGTCCTTCATTTCGGCAACATCCCAGTGCGCCAGCAGCCAAGTGGTGTCTCGGGGTTCGGCCCCCCACACTTCCGATCTAGGTAAGCCCTAAGCCCCTAGACATTTTCCTTTTTGACAACCCTTCACCATGAGCCAGTTTGAGGTGAGATGCAAAAATCATGCACTCGCAATATGTGGCGATATCTTCTACAGTTGCAATCGTCTTAGCGACTTGCTGGTAACATAATGAGACACGGTTAGCTCTAGATCTGCTCTTGCGGTCAAATTACCAAACTCCCTATGCTATCGGCTGGAGCTGTCAGTCCGTGAGTGCATGAGGTAATGACAAGGCAGGAGGATATGGCTAGGTAGGTAAGTACGTTTCATTTACCAAAGGATCACGGCCTCAACTCAGCCCCAATCCACAAGGCCCGACCCGAAATCGCAGCCACAAGCAGGGCGCAGGTGAACAGGTACAACTCGACATCCTCCTATCGTCAACTCTGTTCACATATTCCTTGGATGCCAAAAGACGTGGCCCGCCTTTGGCTAGACATCTGCCCTTGCTTGTAAGGGACTTGTTGTTTTCTTTTCTTTTTTTCTCTCTCTCTCTTTTTTTTTTTTTTTTTTTCTTTTTTTCTTTTTTTTTCTTTTTCTTTTCTTTTTTCCCTCCCGTCTAAAGGAGCCTTGGAGCTAACACCATTGCTCACATGGCAAGTGCCGCGTCTTCAAACGTACGTAAACATGAGGAAGATTGGCGTCGAATCATGTCTACCAGCCTGCATTCGTGTAACGTAGGTATGTCAAGGTCTCTACTGTCCTCGATGCACCCCTGTCAGACCGGGCGGGAAGGAAGACGATATATATGTGCGTGACGCCGAAAAGCTTGTTAGTCAAATTGTATCAGGTATCGGGCAGAGTCGGATCTCACAATCGCATCATGGACACTGGCCAGTTACCTATGATTTAGTTTCTACCACCTCATTAATAACGTTGTCATCAAGTAGAACTTGATAGGAAGGAGCACTGGAAACTTCTTCATCCCTTCGCTTTATTCAGTGCTCGCGATAGGATAGGTTCTAATGGTACTAAGGTACACATCTGTTTGCCCTGCTCTGGCACTCCAACGGGAGACAAGGTGAGCGAGGAATTCCACCCGTTGGATACTATACCGAAGTCTACATTGGGGGGCCATATTCTTTCCCTCCTTCCTATCATGCCCTACCTCATTGTTTCCGGTGGTATATGGCGCGATGGACCACAGCATGTGCAGTTTCGGTTGTCTTTCCCCACTCTATCCCCCTTTAAGAAATATTGTTCTGCTGGATAATCCATACCTTGAATATCTGGCTATTACCTCACATTTTCCACAGCGAGAGTGTTGTTGATTGGCCATTCCGCATGAGTTTGACTCACACCCTTCTCTGCGTCTCCTCTCAGTCTGTCCGGAGTCTACGAGGCCTCAGTGCTACTCGGTGGTGCTTAAGGTAGTCTGTCAGCTCAATCATGTGCTATCTTAATCGAAGAACTTTCTAAGCAGCAAAGGACGACAGTCAATTATGCCACAGACACTATACCTGCTATACCTCATCACTCAGCCGGGTATGGCGGAATGGACAGTAAATGTTGAAATACTTTACACTGTTGACTCTGTTCGTTCCTTGACACTCTTCACCTGCCAAGTTCTGATTTGCCAGAATCTGTGCTTTCCTCATTCCTCAGCAACTGCGGTGCAAAACTTTTCCGGTCGCCCAATCACCTAGAAAGACCGTGCTTGGCGCCGTTAGGAAGGGCTGAGTTGCTATGGGATGGAAGATACATAACGGCCAAAAAGAGACTGGTCATTTTTGCTCTTTCCGTTTTTTGTTCTCGAACTTGTTGACGTACAACGTATACATCACATGATACGCGGCAGGATCAAACATATGCGGCTCGCCTGTCATTATCCTCGCCCCTGCCTTCAGCACATGTGTTGCGGCTCGTTAGTAGCATCAACACCACTGCATCGCTGCATGTCCGAGCCGTACATGCATTGCAGGTGCATGAGTTTGTTTTTCTGCAGAGCCAATGGAGATGAGATATAACAACACCTATCCTGAGGGGGAAACAAAGCGGAAATCAGATTTCCCACTTCGGGGCCGATCGATATATACGGAGTAAATCAGTTTTGCGATTCACGTTCTCCGTCGCCACACATGCCTCCTCCGCATCGTGTTTTTACTCTTACATCCCGTCATACAGCTGCTGCTTGTGGTAAACACGGCTCGTCGACATCCAGACTATGGAGTTTTACATATCTGAGATCCGTGGTCAACCTAAGAAGAAGGCATCTACACAAAGGCACCTGTTGGAGAGGGCTTGCATTTGATGTGATGATGCATATGTCCGAATCGCCTTTGCGTTTCATGTGCTGCTTCATATACTTGGACAAGCAAGGGATTGGAATACTAATGCGATAGGTAGATGATGAGGATCGTGAGATGGTTACTGGGTCACGGGGCTGTTGTGATCTGCGGGGACAGAGCTGTCCGCTGTGTGGGTGAACTAGAGCTACCAAGTGATAAGTAAAGGTGTAGACGGCCTGAGATAG